AGCATGCATTATGGTGGCCTTCTGTTGTTCATGCTCAGTAAGTTATTGTTATAAAAGAAAGATTTCAGGGAGAGAGGGAAGCAAGTTCAGCTATCTAATCAGACAATTTATTTCAATTTTACACTTGTTCCACTGTTGTTCCTCTGGTGTCGCTCTCAGTGCTAATGGGAATGTATGTGTATTTATGTAGTTCGCCACTAGTCTGGTCATGGAGTTAAAATTTTAAGTTTTGATTTCTGATATAGATTTTTATTGGATCATACTAATACTGTTTTAAAACCAAACCAACAAACCTGTTTTTCTACTGATCAAACAAATGATGAGCAATCTTAGAGGTGTGGTATGCAGATTTTGTTAACTGACAGAGCTAGGATAGATGTTTCCCACTGTTTCTAGCCTTTAAGCTAAGCTAACCTAATAGCCTGCTGACTGTATCTTTGCAGACAGGTATGAGAGTGGTATCAACCTTCTCTGCTAACTCTCAGCAAGATAGAGAATAAGCTATTCACATATTTAGATCAAAAAAATTAAATAAAAATAATGTATTTTGACCACTTGAAAGGAGCTTACATATTTACAATCCAGCTCCAGCAGACACATGTCAACATTAGCATTCATTTGTTTCTGGACACCTGACAAATAGTCCAATATTCACTCTCCTTTTCGCTCTATTTGCTCTCCCAACTCCTGAGTGAATTAATGTTTAGTGCTGAGCAGGTAGTGGGCAGGTGGCATACAGTGCATTGGGCTCTTTTGCTGAAAATAGCTGCTGCATCTGCAAATGGCGCTAATGAGAGAAGCGAGAAGAAACCAAAACAGTAAAAAGTTAGGAGCCACAAAACCAAAATAATGAGTTAGATAGTTGTGTTTTTCATAGAGCTGAGGGGAAAGGCAAATTCATGTGTTGTTTATCTCTGGGTTTGTCATCATGGATGACCGTTTGATTCATTGTGAATATAAAAATATTGATTATAGCAGCTTTAAGTGTTAATAATTATAACATAAAGGTACAGTTATTAGTCATTCCCCAATCATTACGACCAGGGTCCATTGGATGTTTCTATACTATCATGCTGGACATTCATGCTGGTTACAGGTTACAGCTTCAGTGTAGGTTTCGCTGACTTTGTTTTAAAAGACAGGCCATTTGATTGATGTATTTTTACCGCCAGTAGTTAGAACACTGACAGACAAGCAGTCACCATTGTCCAGGAAGAACTGTATTGATGGTCCATCTCTGTGATGTGTTAATTGAAGCACAAAGGGTAGCCTCTAGCTGTGGCAAACCCATTGTACTGTATAGATATAGATACAGTACAGCTGATCCTGCACTCCCACTTATGTGGCTTATGAGTACCAGCATCCATAGATATCGTAGTCAGTATCTGCCAGGAAGCGTCTTTCATTGCCTACACATTCTCATATCACATCTGTGTTGTTCACTCCACGCATATCCCTGCTTTCCAAGATGCCGTATGGCAGTACATGAGACAACAGTGTCACCTACGGGCCGAGGAGAAATCTACACTCTACTTCGTCCAGTGCAGTGAAGCTCTTGGACACTGTACAGGTGAAAAGGTGTATTTTACATCATTCATGGCACACTCTAGCACTATTGCACCTGAAAATATCACTTGTGAGACATACAGAACTTGTGCTCTCCATGCAGAATGATTAATACAGCCAGCCAGATGCCAAGCAAATAGAAATGGCGGAGTTCAAAAGAACAAGGAAGGAAGAGGATTGTGAATAATTCATTTTTCTGTTGCACTTCTCATTACTGTAATTACACAGCCATTGTTCTTTGACAGGGAGGAAACGTAAAATTACAATTTAGGCAGTGAAATCGTCATTTGTAGCAGTAATTGACACTAATAAAATGATTTTTCCTTCTTTCCCTGTGGATCATATGCTAATCAAAATGTGAAGTATTAAAGATGACACTAACGGGCGTGATAAGCAGCTAATGAAAGAGGGGAGGCAAGCGGGACAGTAATAGACATACTCCCGCTAATAAGTTCCTGTTCATTAGAGCATGCAAACTGTACCCTCCTCCTGTCTTGTCTGTTTCTTCTGACTGACAGCTTTGACAGCCTTTCCTGTCAATGGGAAACTTTTGACCGCATCCTCAAATAAAGCATTAATATTTCACAGTACCACTAAGCAAGTTATAAGCCTCTTTATAAATGGATCAGTAGTGTACTATTATTGGAGGGTGACATAAGCCTCTACTTGACTCTGTATTTAAAAATAGATGACACTGTCTATAGTGCCAGCATTTTGATGACATTTTCTTGTGTCTGGGAGGATGTCTTCACTGCCTCTCACGATGTTGGTAGGGTGACTCACACAGAGTGGAGTTGATATGACAGACTTTGATCTCTCCCACTCTGTCTCTCCCTTTTGCTATTCCCCCAGTGGACTTCTGCATATGTCGACCCACATCCACCCTGAAAAAGCAGAACGAAGATCCATGAAATGAGATGCCAAATACTAGGCTCTCTTTGTGACATGGCAAAAAAAAAAAAAAAAAAAGTATGATAGAGAAAAAACAAAAGAAAAAAAAAAGAAGCTGAGAAACAGGCCAAACTGTTGACCATAATGAGAAGTGTGTGACTTCAGTTCACTGCGGATGGGCGTATTAATCTTACTGCAATAAAATCTGGTCAGGCATTCACAGTGGGATGGCACCAAATGCAGCTTAGGTTCCCAAATTACACCCTGGAGGCAGTTTACCCTTTAGAAAGAGGATGGGAACCAGCTCCTAAAAATCCAGAAAATAGCACCTGTGTTACAAATAGGCAGCAGACGGGCCATGGGGAGGGCCGTCGGCGAGTTATCCGTAACCCGTGCAGGTAGGATGGTATCAAAGGGAGTTGCAGGGTGATCAGGAGTGGTGGGTTTTAGCATTAGGACTGTAGCGATCTGGCGTGCAGGGAGGAGATGAGGGGAACTCTCAGAGATAATCATGCTAACACTGAATTCCCTCATTATCTCTAAGGCTGAGCTGTGGGCAGGAGTCCAAGTCACACACACACACACACACAGAGGAAGAGTGCGAGCTTCCGAAGTGAGCTCAGTGTGAACTGTGCAGGGTACAGAAGCCAGCATGTTGATCATAGGAATCTATGGAATGAGGAAAGACCATTAATGTCAGCCTATTGGGATAATAAGATATACTGTTTAATAATGCAGTGCATGTTTTTTTTCTAGTTTTCTTGAGGTGATTGAATATCAAGATTTGGAATTGGTTTTATATAATTACACGGCTGGGTATATTCATATTATATAAGAACAAATTAATTGAGTTGATCTGTTCAGCATCACCTCTTGTTTCCCTCTTCACGACTCTGCTGAAGAAGCTCTAAAACCTGGCATACTTTCCTCACAGACCTCTCCCCACTTCAGCCTATTATAGAGTTCAACCCTGCTCAAAGTCACTTCAATTATCAACATGATACTGTTAGTGCCTCTGGTCCCAAGAGGTATTGTAGTGGTACAATGCTACAGATCAGATTTAGATCTCAGATCAAAGATGTTACATTTTGCCCAAACCCTAATTGGCGTCAAGCAAAAATAGAATGTTTGAACTCAGATCGTTGTCAGTATAGGGCAACAGCAGATATAAAGGGTGGCAAAGTTCAGGAAAAAAGCTTTTTTGACACATTTACTTCTGCATGCATAGTGTTTAATCTGTCTGGTGTTGATTTGCAAGTACATGCCCTGCATTTGACTGATGTCAGCTGTAAAAAAAAAACAAAAAAACAAAAACAGGACAAACATGTTCTGAGGAATTCGAAAAGAACAATTGCTGCCTAATTCAGTTTTTTACTTTATTGGCACAGCCTTGCAGTGCACAGTGGCTCATTTGAACGGAAACATATTTTAAAATTTTGGGTGACGGTATTTGCACTGACTCAGTGCAATATGTTATTTGTAGTATCTGATGTCCTCTTCAAAGACAACACATCTTATGAATGTCACAAAAGAAAATATATGATACCTGACAGGAAAACAGTTCAGTGTATATGAACACTGGCAAAAAATTCATGCACAACAGAACTGTTTTTGCTTCTCCGCTCCTGTCACTGTTATGAGAGATTGTAGGCCGCATACCACAGTTAATTGTCAACTGCCTGGCATCACTCAGACACCTGTAGATCACCGCATGTAGGTGGAAGCTATTTAAAGAGTTGATCAAAGTTTGACATGATTGAGATGAAGTGAAGTCATCCATAGCTCACAGGGAAAATAAGCTTGACCTAAATAGTGATCAGCATGAATATTATGAACTTGATTTGCAAAATTCAAAGCTTAAAGAGGCCACTGTGTCAGACAGTTAGTAATTAGAGACATTTCTAAATGTGTAACCCCAATGAAGGTATTTTCTTGCAGTCTTTTCAGGCACACTGCCAACCAATATTGTTTCTTTTTTCTTTTTCCCAGCGACTTTTCAAAAAGGAAAAGGAACAAATTCTCTCAGGTCTTCTTACCTAAACTGTCAGCACCTCGTTCATCATGATGAAATAAGGAAAACAAATGTTGTGCTACATAATAACACAGGGGGAAATTTCTCTAAAGGTTAAACACTATTTTAAGCAAGTATATGAACAATGACTTTAAGCAATTTAATGCTCCCTCTGTGGGCTTTTCGAGTGTTTGGATCCATGCCTGTGCGTACGGCTCCTCACGAGTGTGTGCCTTTTTGCTTGAGTGAGCATGTGTTTGTGTGTTTAAGAGAGTAAGTGAGAGGGAGCAGTGCCAGTAGGGAATATAAAAATTATGTCAGGTGTACGTGCGTGCGTGTGTGTGTGTGTGTGTGTGTGTGTGTGTGTGTGTGTGTGTGGAAGGTGGGGGGTTGTTGGTGTGTGGGTGTGCACTATGCAAATACTCACCTGGTATGAGCCTGGACAGGTAGCCAATTGGAGCAGGATAAGGAAGTTAGGAGGATAAAACACCCATTGTGGTGGGGCAGCACCTAGTGTGTCTGCATACTTTCATCTGTTAATTCAAATATTTGAGAAGCAACAGGACTCATCTCGCCTCACTGTAAACACTAGTTCTCTAGCGTATTGGAATCTTCAGAAACTGTATTGATCTCTTTTTAGCTGTGTTAAGAGTGGATCTACGTGAGACCTCTATCAGGCCTGGTCGGACCCCATTCTACTGCTCTGGTAGGCTGTAATACTGGTGGCTGGGAAACCAGCAGTGCTTTTCAAACTAACTAATAACAAAGTATGATCAACCTGAAGGCTGGACTAATAGGCTCAATGTGTTTTAATGCCATTTAAATCTAAAAAAAACATGATTTCATTGGCATGGTCTGTTTACTGTGTCTGATCAGATGTGGATATTCTGGGAAAATATGGACGCAAATGTTGTTTTTTTTTTTTGTTTGTTTGTTTTCTTTTCCAGTGGGTTTAGACCGCCAACTATCTCACATGTGATTTCTATTCTTGCAATAATCTTCAATTATAGAGTAATCACATGGCAAATAGATTAAAGGTATGTCAGAAATTAGCTCATATTTACAGAGACTGTCAGATTCCTAAAGACAAGTTTGGTGCAATGCTATGCACAATTAGGCACTGAATTTAATATTTCCCTGTACTTGTGATTTTTTAAGCGCACTTTCACATTACCAACATTCCACCTCCGGCGCCACTCTGCTGGTGTCGCAGAAAGGTTGCTTATTTAATGCCACCAACTATTATTTACAGTGAAAAGGTAAATTCAAAAAAATAAAACAAGAATTGAGAGAATTAAAACAGAACTACCAGCCAAGTTGGGTTCAATGCTATCATACGGCCAGTATGAGAGAAATGAAACCAACAGTCTTCTGAAGAACTTCAGATGAGTGCTTATCGCCTCACATTATAACTAAGGCATATGTAGAGTGATTTTATACTGTGACACAGCTAACAGAGTATGGACCAATAACTGTGATTATATCTTCCTTTCCTTTATGGAAGCACTGCTACATGATTGTTGTATTGACAGAAACCTCTTGTCTTGTTGATAAGATACCTGTTTGGCAGAAGTATGGAGGGTTAACATGCAGCATAAGGTGTGTGAGCATACTTGGCAGTTGAGGCACTGATCTACTCTGGCATGATGGCATGTGACACCTATCGCTAGGGGAAATCTAATTCAGGGATTTTGACTTTGGGTTGTTATAAAACTGATTTACCAGATCTTTAAAGACATTCAGTCGCCTGTCAGTATGTCATGGATCTGTTCAACTGGCAGCACAGTACTTACTGTTGAAATGTGCGACAGGGCTTGGCATAATTTTATTTATAACCTACCATAAAGGTGTAACTAAGATATTTAAGGGAGCAGGTGAAGTACGGGTCACTGTGTAAAGAATTAGTTTCATTGTGCAGCCTTTTGAAACAGATGTCACTCATCATGTTGACCTTTGAGTTTGATTATGATTTGATAACTCAGTAACATTTATGACACTGACTGACCCATTTTTCTCATTTCTCACCTTAGACATAGAATTAATGTCCTGTTTAAAGCACATTTTAAAACAAATTAAGATCCCCTCTTGAAGACATTCGGTTCTGTTTAAATGTTGGAAAACAAAACATAAAATGTAGATGGTAAAATGTAGAACAGTCATTTATTTTGGCAGCAGTCTTAAAAACTAAACTAAAACAATCTGGCATTGTATGTGTCATGTCTCAGACATTCAGAGTCCTTGACTTAACAAAGAAACATAAAACCAGGTATTGGCAGTATACTCTATCAGACATGACTCAGCTATTGTGTGTGTGTGCAACACTTATTCACCTCCTGTTGGGCAAAACACTGGAGCTGCTATATTTCTGACAGGCTCTATTTACATGGGATGCAAATATATTTGTGGTTGAGTCTGAAACATGCCATTATTTTTTATATGTATACAGCCCTGCAAGCCCCTCAGTAGTAATTGCAACTGTGAAGTATGAGAGAGTGTAGCCTATGCAAAATATTATAGGAATAAGAAGTTTTAATTATGCAAAATCATTCTGTTGAAAATATAATAACATCAGAAACATGTACTGTAAGTTTCTGTTACATAATGCGTTTTGAGCATTTACTGAACTGAAGACATTATAAGCAGTCCAAAAGAAAAACTGACAAACAGATAAAAATTGACATTTTATACTGCATAAAAACAAACAAACCTCCATTAAAGCATAAAACCCAACTGATCCATTCATCTGTAACTTTTATATGTCCAAAGGACAGATTACTAAATTTTAGTGCCCTTAGATGGTTTATTAAATATGGCTAGATAAATGTTTTAAATTGAATAAATCAATGTATTTATGCAGTTTAGCATTGTTATCGTGAAGACTTCAGGCCTGGTTGATTTGTCCACACCCATGGTTACAGAAAACACCAATTGAGCAGCTACTTTACTTGTTTGTTTGTTGTGCCATTGGATGATCTAAATCTATGAAGATTACTGTTACTGTTTAAATCTGTACATACAATCAATTACACCTCTCTTGCCTCAGCCCCTGGGCCATGGTACATCAGAGTGTAGAAGCTGCAATATGAGCGTAACTCCAACCACCACCCTGGACAGCCAACTGACCTCTACCTGGGGCTCAACTAATTCCTACCCCGATGGTGAGGCTTCCTGCCCACACAAACACACTCATGATGAATCCTACTGTATGCCTTGCAGGCGTTATGTATGCACTCTTCACTGATGCGAATCAGTCAATTAAATTGTCTGAATAATGTCCTAAAATGCCTCAAAAAAATATGCTAATTTGCTCTGCTGAAGGATTCAGGTTGCACTCTGTTCAACAATCCAGGTCTCTCTTTGCTTATGAAACTGCAATGCAAAATGAAAATCATTCAACAATTAGCAACTGATATATTGCTCACTTGTGACTGCAGAGCTCAGACACACAAGGCATGAATTAAGGATTTCCAACTGAGAATTGCTCAACAGCTCTACCAGTATACTGCTCTTCAGATCAATTATTGATAAATAGATTAGATGGTGGAATTCAAGTTTCCCTCATCAGATGCATATTTACATTAAAACTAAATTAATTCACTGATGTAAACAAATGGGATCTTTAGAATGTTTTCATGTATTGATGTGTCTCCCCAGTGCCGATGATGATGTCTGGTTACACAAGTCGTCTGTGGCCTCATGACTCCCAGCCTCAGTTCTGGAGTAAGTACCAGGTGTGGGAGTGGCTGCAGCAAGTCATGGACATGCACCAGATCGATGCTTCCAACATTCCCTTCCAAAACTTTGACATGGACGGCCATCAGCTCTGCAGCCTAAACTACCAGGATTTCATCCGTGCTGCCGGCAGCATGGGACCCATTCTCTTCCACAACATCACAGAGCTCAAGTGGAGCGGTGCGTCTGAAGGTCTGGGGGGGGGGGGGGGGTCTAAAAGCAGTGAAAGAAAGGATGATGATTAGTCCCAATAAAAGAGGAGCTGGGTGATTCGAGTTGGGTCTGCAGCAGTTTTGATGAAGTGATGCTGAGAAGGGATCACAGAGTCGGTCAGGGGTCGGACCGCATGGTGCTGTAGAGGGGTGAAGGACTGCTTAAAGTGAGGGAGATGATGGATTTGTTGTTTGCTCTTACTGGAGTGGGTCTTCTAACAAAGCACAGAGGGGGTGTGAAGCTAAAAAACAAGGGAAGAACTGGCTCATCCACTGTTTTTTAATTAGAGTTTGAGGGTTATTGCAAAGAAACTGAAGTTTATAGGCCTGAGGATTCACCTTTGGTATTTTGCAGGTGTGACTTAGAAGAAACTAAAGGAATAAAAAAGTGGTAAATGATATCAGCACATCATATTTTATCTAACGTCTGAGAACTTAATGGCATTTCAAAACAAGACTAGAGCAGACCAGGAACAACAGGTTTAACCTCCAGGTTAAGGGAAATTTCAAGGGAAACCAAACTAGTGCACAATGCTGCTATTGTTATTGCTGGCTGTAAGAAACCAGCTCAGTATCTTAGGGCAAGATGTTACATATTTGTACATCTAATATCATTGTCAAACTGATTGTTATAGCTGGGTATGGCCCCAAACTTGAGGCCATTGTGGTAGGTAAGACTGAGAATTGTTAGTGCCAGTGATTATCAAAATTTAGATGAGATTTTTGCTTCCTGTTGAAAAATGCTTGTTTATACTTATTGTCCTCTACCTGTTTTATTGTGTAGAACAACAAAAAGAGGTGTAAGGTGTAGTTTTCAGTTCCTTTCACTTTTATCACTTACACTATTAGGAAGATAATAAATGTTTTGGCACAGGAATGCAGCACTATCCACCTGTTTTAGCATCTGAGACAGTGTCTGAATATGCCATAAAGCAAGGGAATCTCAGACTGCTTCACAGTGTAACATGCAATTTAGGGCCTTTAGCCGCTCTCAGTGGTTTATAGTAAACAATGACTTGGTTCATATATTTTTGATGACTCGCCATGAATGTGAAAGTGAATGATCAATTATTACAGAACATTACATGGCACTGATCATTTTGATTTCATGATTCTCGCTGGTGTTTCATTTCCTTCTTTCCTTCTCATCTCTGCACAGGGCAATACCATGTGGAAATAGGTCAACTGGATCTCAAACCAGAACGTAAGAGTCTCTCAATTAATATTATGAGCAAATAAAATAAAATACAATGAAAATATTCATTCTGCTTCAACGTTTTTTGTTTTATTTTCTTTTACAGTAGATTTCTCCTGTCCTTTTCCAGATGTCGGTTATCCACCAGGAGGTATAAATATCTGTATCATTATAACAATTAATGCTATGTTTGAAATCATACAACAAATAAACTTGATTTTCCTCTGTTGACTTAGAAATCTACGATCCCGCTATTCACCCCCTTGCACCTGTTGCCTCTCCCACCCCTTCTAGTCCTGGTGAGGAATTTATGATGTATCCAACATAAATGTGTATTATCTAAACTCAAAACAACCATGCTCCCCTATGCTATCACACTGAGACCCAAGCATATGTTGAGATCAGCCTCAGATCAGTTAAATCAAAGGATTCAACAAATGCATTCAACAATGATTTAATTTCTGTTCCTCAGACATAAAAAGAACTTACAGTCGTCCTCATCAGGTCAAAAAACACAGTAAGTAATATACAAACTTACATTTTCATTATATTTTCTTTTTCATAACATATATGTATATAATCTTACGATTAAACCCACTTTCCCACTTTCCCACAGACCCACGGGGGACCCACTTGTGGGAGTTCATCAGGGACATTCTACTGAACCCAGAGCGAAACCCAGGGCTGATCAAGTGGGAGGATCGGACAGAGGGGGTTTTCCGTTTCCTGAAGTCTGAGGCAGTTGCACAGTTATGGGGCAAGAAGAAGAATAACAGCAGCATGACCTATGAGAAACTAAGTCGGGCAATGAGGTACACCCACACAACTGTCATACATGCAGTTACACAAATACAAAACCTCATGTTTGCATACCATAAACAGAGACTCTCACACAGAGACTGAGGCCACTGAATGTTGTACCTAGCCAAGGTTGTGACACAGCTTTTTCTTCATGTAATTTTTCCTGTCAAGGTAGTGAAACAAAATACTCATTGCCCTTTCAATACAGTCAGCATCCTACATTTACACAGGGGTTTTCTTTAGTTTGGCAATATCTTGTGAAATCTGTGATGAGGAAGAAATTTCACACTGCATTGTTCCTAATCCTATTTCCTTAATGGGCTCTTATTGGTGACATCATTAAGAGTTACGCATCGAAAACCAATGAACTCAATCCTTTAAAAACATATATTTGCCATTCCCCATTGCTGATTACCTAAAATTGAGTCACTTTTGAACTGCTACATGTTTCACATTTTTTCCCAATTGAACTGAAATGGCACTCTCCTCAGAAAATCTTCCTGGCTGCTGCAATAGTCACACAGCTTTACATTCAAATGAGCTAATCTAATGAGCTTAATTTCATTGTAGTGCAAACCACTGGGAACTACAAAATGTGCCCGCAGGTATTGTCACTGTGACCACAAAGCTGATTTTCTATTTACTGTGATGCAGCAAAAGGATTTGCAGCTTGATGGCATCACCAAACAGATTGGTGCTCTCTGTTATGAATAACAAAAGCAAAGGAATAACAACCAAACTAACTTTGTTTCAAACTATTCCTTTCATTTGAATTACTTTCATTAACTCACCGCACTTTTCCCTCTACTCTTGTCTTAATTACTACGGCTGCTAGATGTCGCCTAATAAAAAACTCAACTATGGGTCATAGTAACCCGCGGCACAAACGACCTATGGGCTCGTTTCTTACAGGAGGATCAAGTATGCATAGGAGTAAAGTAATATGATAAAAGCAGTAACTAGAATCAGATTCACTGGCTTTAAAAAAAAAAAAAAAAAGAAATAAGAAAAGGCTAAGAAAGTTTAAGTGTTCTCATTCATGCAGAAACTTGTTGGTGTAAACACTCAACAGGTTCAAACGTCTTTAAATGTTAATATACATGAGATTTTGCATAGGAGTTGCACTTTCAGTTTAAGCACATAAAGCAGCTGAAGTGACCGCTGAAGTTCATTCACTGCAAGAGTCGATGTGTCTCTTGAATTGTAAGAGCTGAAAGCAGTTGAAATCAGTTCACACAGTTCACATTGAATATTTTAGTGTTTAGATTAAACCCAGTAAGCAGTTGAATTGTCAGTAGGCTTCATTTGTAAATGCATACTGACAGTTCAGAATAAAAGCAGCTGCGATAACATTTAACAGATAAGAACTTAAAGCAGTTTAACTGTCACTTGTAAAACATGAAAGCAGTTGAAAATCCAGCATCTAGCAGGTAAAAACGAAACATGTTTTATATTATCTGTAATGAATTCATTTTGAAATTAATTTACTAGTCATTGCATCTGTCCTTTGTTACAGATATTACTACAAAAGGGAAATCCTAGAACGAGTAGACGGACGCAGACTGGTTTACAAGTTTGGAAGGAATGCTAGAGGATGGAGGGAGTCAGAGAAGTGACAATTTCATTAATTTATGTTTTATTTGATGAATGCAAATGTGATGTTTTATTATAGTTACTGTTTTTGATAACGATACATTTGAAGTGTTTACACATTGTTGATGATTGTATGTTTGCATCATTATTTTTTTTTCTTGAAATTCATCTCTTTGTTGTGACACTGCACTGAGCTGTTCTTTATTGTGCCTTATTAAGAAACCTTTGCTTATTATACCAGCATGTCATCAGTCAAACCTCACACACACACACACACACACACACACGCACACACACACACACACACACACACACACACACACACACACATGTGTTAAGAAAAGATTATATTGAAGAAAGTGATATCAAAACTGAATTTTGGTTTTCTTACATTTTTTTTTTTTAAATCAGATACTTTCTACTTTTCAAGTCCTATAAGAGCACATATTGATATAACATTCAAACACGTGGCAAACAGATATATGTTTAGAGTTTTGACACTGATAATGTGAAGTTCCTGTGGGAAGGATGCCAGATCACAGCATAAAAACAAGAATGATAATGGAAATAACATGCCATAAGAAAAAAATGTAGCAATCAAGTACAAAGATACATAAACAAGTGATAAAGTACAAATAGTTACAGCAAAATAACAGTATGGTTCGTCTTATTTGGTTCATTTCAGAGTTTTCATTCATTGAGCTGTAAAGAAAGTGTGTACATGTTTGTTGATGTTTAATACAAATAAAGCTTGTGATTGTTTTTATTTTATGAAAGCCATTTCATAACGCCTACAATTAGGATGTCATTTTGTAAATCAAGGGAAGGACGATTCCTGAGACCTTTCATTGTCATGAGACTAAGAGATAGTATTCTGATCAGTTACATCAATCAGTGTTTTGGATTCAATCTACAACCTAAATTGCAACTATTCTTTCCCAGAATTGATTAATGTTGACTGTCAACAGAGCGCAACTTAGATCTACAGCTGTAAACCTCGTTCCCACTCAATCATGTTCTGATGCACTTAGAGATAGTGCAGGTGGTTTCTGTTTTACCGTGACAGTGTGAAATGCCACACAGTTAATTGTTTGCCCGTACATAGCTGCCATGCAGGTTCCTACAGGCAGTGGATGAATGACTGGGCCTTGATGGCCAACAAGATTAAAGCTGTGTCAATAAAAGGCTCCTTTCTGTGACCTGTGTTCACAAGCAAATCTGTGTCTAATCTTCAATCTGACTTATCTCACTTTTGTGATCCTTCTTTACATATCACGGCACTGATTGACATGACGTTCTGTTATTATCTTTCCAAATGGCTTTAAAATTTGCCAACTGCACTGCTGCACCACGTTCACTTTTGTCGCTCTGCTCTCACACACATCAGTGTCAGAAACCAACACTGTCCTGATGTGAGATGAAGGAAATTAGATCACATGTCAGCGACAAAAAGTAGATATCAGTCTTCCAGTATCAGACCTATGGGAACTTCTAAAAGGTAATTTCTTCCTGGTGGCATGAAATCATCTCTGATTAAAGGAGGTTGCTGTAATTCGGTTTTCTGTTGATGATTGGATGAAATAAAGAAAATTGCAAAACCTGCTCCTGATTGGATTGAGATAATAACTACTCATTGCCATATTGTTACATTAAATGAAACCAGCAAGAATTTTTATTCAAATTTAAGTGCATATCCATTAAATCCCATTGTTTTGATTCTGTCTTATTATTCACACGGAGCAATAACACTTTGTAGTTACTTTGGAGCAGCATGTGTAGTTTTAATTTGAGATATATATAAAATTAAACAAAACTGTGATTAAAGTTTATCTTGAATAAGAAACACTATAAAAAAAAATATACAGAACTTTTTATGGAATCAACTAATCTTTTCTTGTCAACTTAATGAAAATATATAAATTTTGTTATTTCAATGTCTGGTTTTAATTTTCAGATCACTTTAGAACTTATATAAAACAAGAGCTGTTCTAACCTGAAGTCTCGACTTGAAATGTTGAGTTGAATGAAGTGAAGTGCTAATAGTTCACTCACCTAATTAAATTAAGCTTTGAAAGACACAAAACTAGCATATTACAACAGACTTCCAGGCACGCATCGCTTCAAAGACGCTTCTTTTTTGTAGTTTGATGACATGATGTAAACTTGATGTGTGTCTTTATTCAGGTAAATGTATGTCATGGTGTTTTCTTTTCTTAAGAACAAAAAAATGTTAACCATGATGAAGGTTAGTATTGAATTAAGTCCAACCCTGTACACTTTGAACTTAACAAGGTCACAGGTCAGCCTTCCCTGTTGTCTTCTGGTAAAAAGTGGCATCAGAAGCTGCAGCTGTAAGCTCCTCATGGCAAATGAAGAACTGACTGCTTGAACAGAGAAAGAAAACGCAAGTCTGAACTGACTGCCCATGTGACTAAATAGTTGATTCAACTTATTGTCTTAAATTTATTGGACTTTTCTCAAGTTCGGTCAACTTAACTCAGTTAGTTTAATGTTTTCAAAACTCACAAAACGATGTTGAATTAACCATAAGGTTGTGCTGAGTCATTTAGAGAATTCAATAGGAAATGAACTGTGACCAAGTTCCATAAAAGATAACTGAATTAATATGAAGTTTGACTAAAACAGCTTATTTGTTTTGAATCATTACAAAATTACCTCAACTGGTCTTCTCAAAGTGAAACAACTTAAAATTCTAAGGCAGATACTAACTTTTTTAAGTTAAAACAAATATTTCATTTTAATAGTTAATTATGATTATGAGTTGTACTTGTTTTAAATGTTTAAATGACATTTCTTTGATAGCTGTAAAGGCCAGGTGAAACTGTTAAGCAGCCACAAACAAAGTAAAGCATTATGTTAAAAGGATATGAAATATTTAACCTGTATCTGAAAGACTTAAATGTAGTTCATTACCATAGCATTAAGACACTGTGCAATGTCCATTAATATTAATATAGCATAAAGAAGTCAACGTGGACATTAATGATAGTTTCCTGCAAATGTTCAGAAGGGAAGAAAGAAAGGAGTGAACTTCTGAAATCTGACCTCAGTTTCATTTTTGAATAATGTGGATGCTGCTGTGAGCTGTGATATGGGAACATGTTTGATGTAACTGACTGAAGATAAGTGAACAGTTAGGCAAATTGACTAGACTGATCTAACCACTGCAGCTCAAAGAGACAGGAGATTGATTTTCCTACCACGCCACTGCCCTGTGAATGCAAACTTTACATACCCACAGCGTGTGAATATCCATGTCAGCAACTGACATTTGTTAATGACACTTTAATGTGCATAACACTATATGCGATGAGTTTAGTGTGTGATTCTCTGAGGCCTGTGTCTGTAATGGTTCTGAAGAATTACCTGTAATTATGAGAGGATAATAACCCCAAACCAGCATGACAAGTATTTACAACATTTGGTTGGAGGGCACTGGCAGCAGGCATTGATGGCACTTAGACAAACATGCATCCAAACCGGTTGTAATAGATCTGGGAAGGAAAAAAAATACCCATGCACCTGAGAAGAAATATTTAGTCCTAATCCATGTGTCTCACTTTTGTTTTGGTGAGTGGTTTCATTGAACAAAAACTGCATTATAATGTGAATGTATGTCTGGGAAGATGAAAAGAAAATGTACAAGTAAATTATCTACTGGCCACCTGTGCTGTGTTACACTAGGCTACACAGATGAGACAATGGTTGCCTCTGTTTTGCCAGAAACAATATGCAATATCAGTCCTCAAGTGCCTTTATCTCTTATTGTCAAAATTATTTTCAGATTTGAATGAGCCACGCAAGGGCTATTTTATTATTTAAAAAGGGAAAACATTAATTCAATCAGATAGATGCCAGAGGAAGAACAGGGAAGTGATAAAAGATAGCCTAAGCATGGGCATAAAGACAGCCAGCAGAGATTTTGTGTCTGTCCCATGCCTGCTCAGTGGGCCTATTGTGTTCTCTCAGCAGATATACAGGCCAAGCTTATCAGGTCCCCTTATCATTTTCTCTTCACACTCAAATGGAACTGTGAGGCATTCAGCCCAAACTGTGAGCTGGACAGATTAGAACTGTGTCAATGATGCAGCTTTGCTTTTTGAGGGGTGTACTGTGCTGCAGTTCACTGCCCATTTAGAGACAACACACTACACAAAGAAAAAGTAACATATAAGTGAAGGCATGAAAGCAAAACTAACAAAATTCCCAAAGCTTAGATGCCCCAAATAAGGAATCAACAGTTAGGAATCATACAACTCATTCTGCATTAAATAATAAAATAAAAGCCAACCCTGAAGTCAAAGTACTCATGTAAACAACTGACATTAAACGTGTGATTTTCAGTCAGCTTTTTTCTTTTCTGCAGTTTTAATGAGACCAAAATTTGAGGAAGTATTTAAGGCAATACAAGTTTTGTAATGCAAGCCTCTTATGAGGCCAGTTTCCTGCTCAGATGTTTATTGTTGCGTTTCCCCACATACCTTTGACTATTAACTAATAATTTCCTTGTTAGCACATACCTCCAAAGAAATAAATCCATGTATTTCATGTGGTCACACATGCTTTTATTCATACAAATGTCAAACCCACACATGGTTAAGTTAAAATTACAAACATCACACTTTTGGTTATAAACCCCAAAAAACAAAATTGAATTTATATCACAACACAGCACTTTCACATCTTGACATGAATCTTATTCTTCCCACAGGAGAGAAACAAGCTGTGATACTTTTGTGAATTGTCTATGGACACGTGAAAATGTAATTAGCTTATGTTACCTACCAGCGTTACCTAAAAAGAAAGAAAAAGTATGGTAAAAAGAAAAAACTTTAAACATAACAATTCTAAATTGAATGCTACATGATAAATAGACTATGTCAATAACCTTAGCTGCTAAATTGGCCAATTTTTATAGTATATCTGCACAAATTTTTCAATAATATTAGCTACCAACTTTGGCTATGTAACATACATATCTTATTAAAACGAAACCATTTCAATAATGTTGGCTGCTAAGTTGGGCCTCCAACAATCTAATGTTTAGGGATAACAAAAAAGTCTGGTAGTATGTATGGTATGGTAGAATGTATGGTAAAGTATGGTAAAAAGAAAAAGATTACAAGAGAACAATTCTAAATTTCATGCAACATGATAAATTGTCAATAACCTTAGCTGCTCAACTGGTCATTAAGTATAATATCTAGTTATAATACATTCCAATATCATTAGCTGCTAATGTTTCCCACCACAAGTCTAATTTTAAACACATTAACATTAGCTGTTAATTAGTGATTAACAATCAAATAGCATACTAAGATGAGAGACAATGTTACAATAGTGTCTAAGTTTAGCCATTAAATATCAAATTTCCAGTTAAAATGAAAATTATTAAACAACTTCAGCTGCTGCATTTGTAGCAGCATTCTATGGTTGAGGGAAAATTAAAAAGTGACAGCAGCATTAGCTGCTAACTTTGGCATCCACATGACTCAGATATAGCCATCACAAATTAAATAAAATGAAACAGTATTTTATTTTTTTGTTATATTATACAAGATGAAATACAAACAAAAAAACAGGTTGTATTAGCTAATATTAACCATTAGAATAAAGCAAAAATCAATAACCTTAACTGCTAACTTTGGGTGTCAAATAGTTAAAGTCAATGTAACACTAAAGTCAATTGTATTGGGCATTGCATATAGCACAAACCTCCACAGACAGCCTTCTCTCAGCTGAGAAAGAACAATTGTTTATATATTCCCTTTCTCTACTAAACAATTAGCATGGGCAGAACCAAACTTCATTCAAGGGTCCAAGTCTATCCCATTTAAAAAGGTTATTTGACAAAAAGTTACTTTTTTAGTAAACATCAACAGAACATGTAAATTATAGTTTGACAAACAAACAATATAATCCCTCCAAATCAGACAAATACTTACTAATACTATATATTAAACTTGTGACCACCCCCACAGTCATGGTATAACCCGTGACATCATTGATGATACCAGTAAGAGCATAAAGTAGGGAAGTGTCTGACTGTCTCATGGAGTCATGGATGTTCTATGGAGTCCATGGTGAGTGTGGATGATTGAAGTCCATAGTGGAACTGTGTCTTTTTAAGCAAGACATAGTGATGGTAACTGTAACAAAACACAATGCTAACCACAAACAAACCTGTCATACTATGTATTTGCAGTGCTAAGGATTAAGATGGAAATTTGCATGAGATCTGTGTTTTCACAGCTGCTGTAGCCTAGACCAATACACAAACACACAGCATTTCAACATTTGGGCCCTCCATTTAGTAGCTCTAAAAAAATGCCACATTACTTTATCATGAAACAATAAAAAAAGAAGAAAAGTCAGAAACACTACTTCAGAAATATCAATTGCCACATATAGCGTACTATTTGAATGTTAATGCAACACTATGTATTGTGTTCAAATTGTTTACTTACTTAGTGAGAGAGCTCTGAAGGTCTTGCCAACTCTGCTTCCCCCATCCTTCCACAGGAAAATTGGAATAGTCTTCATATCCACCACTGAGGAGTCGCGCAGGTTATTTACTGACATGCAGCCTGTAAGTTTATTTTAGTTTTTCTACTTCAATAAGGGTGGATGTTTATACTGCTTGATTTGCTTGACAACTATGAATGTAATTTAGGGCCAGAATGTTTAAAAGCAAAAAAATAACAAACTGTGAATGTAAATCAAAATCCATAAATGATCAAATTAAACTGTAAATGTAGTGTTCATCATGTCCTGTGTATTCATGAATAGGAGCTTCCAAACAATATTAAGCATTCACTAAACACTGCCTGTAAGATCTGGTGTGTGCAAAATAGGTCTGTGGGTGTGTGGGTTTGTGTGTGTATTTTAATGTTACTGACATTATCAACATTAAAGTGATATTAAAAATAAAACAATTATTGGTCCAGGTGTGCCTTGGTGGCTCACCTCATGGAGTTCTAGCCACATGGGCTTGGTCCTACCCGCAGTGGCCATGGGTTCGGGTCCGACCTGCGGCCCTTTGCTGCATGTCATCCCCTCTCTCTCCCTGACTTTCCTGTCTCTCTCTCACTCTGTAACAATAAAGGCAAAAATGCCAAAAAAATGAAATCGTTTTTTTTTTTTGCATTTTGATACATCCACAAAATAAGCTTGATAACCTAATATCAGTTATAACAGGTGGGGACCAACATGAAGACAGCAGTCAATTGTTCCTGCACATTTTGTGCCTTAGGGATGAGATGACGATATAATGACAAAACAGACTCTACACTGGTGGCTCTAGATGTTTGTTTCATGATGTTTCATGATTAATTACGCTAAGCAGTACCTCAACCAACTGGGAGTTTCTCTATCTTGCCGTGTATTGTATATAATGTACATTTAAATTCATGCAATAACTCGTTTTGGCAGAAAACGAGGAAATTATGAGAATTTGGCCCTTTTTCCACATACAATGCCTTTGACATTGTACCAGCAGGGGGCAGTAGGTCACTGGGCACTGGGGTTCTGGAGCATTTGAAGGCAACAGAAGAGCGCCGTAGTCGAAGGACCCAAAAGAGTTACTTCTTTTTAGCCTACTGGTTTATATCTAAATAATTAATACTACATTTTCTGTGACAAATAAACTTTTTCAAATTTCACTGTGTATGTGTAAAAGTTTTCTGGAGGTGATTACCATCACAGCATTAATTCTGTTTGTACATTATGCTATCCTCCCTCTAGCCCCGTTGTTTTACCGTCAGGCATCTGTACGGACACGGCTCACCGAGGGTGAGGACGACAACATGGCGGCCTCCTTGCGTCTGGGTCGTCAAGGAATTTTATTCGGCCTCAGATTGTCAAATTTTAACAAATGTTTGTGGACCACACACCCATGGCAGGAGCAAGTCAGACACTTCTTTCAATCACCATGGTACCTCGGTGAGTGCTGACTGTCTAATAGATTAATAGTTGTCGTCATTTTCTATGCTGACATTTGCTATCATCATTTTCTATTTTGGTTAATCGTGTAATTTGGTCACCTCACGGCAATTTTGCATAACATGATAGATAATAACAGTATTGTTAAATGGAAATGGACATACATTGTCACCAAACAGCAGCGTGAGGTTGTTTGTGCTGGGTTCAAGTCCAAGTGTCTTAGCTTCAATAGTAGACTGTAGGTGACTTGTGCCACTAGCTTGCTGGAAGAAAAGCCTCTGAAATTGCTCACACAGACAGAGAGCCTTATCAATCCAGGCTGTAGCAAGTGCTATTTAGCAATGCATGGATCTCCCACACTCAAATCTGTCAGTCTGGTAGCCTAAGATTTGATCCCCCTTGTGGTTTCTCACACTTGATACAGTGGGTGCAACGGTTACCCATAGTTTCAACTGTAAAATCTATGGACGGGTGACACATAAAAGGAAAAAACAACAAAAAGTGTCTTAGTAAGGTTTTGGGCCACTATGTGCCGCCAGAACAGCTTTAGTGCTCCTTAATATTAATTCTTCACATCTCTTAACTCTACTGGAGGGATGAACATCATTCTTCCAAAAGATATGTCCTCATTTAGTGTTTTGATTATTTGGTGATGGAGAGCGCTAACATGTCGGTCCAGAATCTCCCATAAGTGTTAAATTGGGTTGAGATCTGGTAACTGCAAAGGCCACAGCATATGATCACATCATTTTCATACTCATTAAATCATTCAGTGACCCCTTGTGCCTTGTGAATGGGGGCATTGGCATGCTGAAAGAGACCACTCGCAGCAGGACAGAAGGCTAAAGGTGGACACTCAAAACAATTTTGCACTGATTTGCAGTGACCCTTCCCTCGAGCAATTATGTCTATGGTGTTGTCTTGGTCTACACTGTATGCACTCGACCACTTGAGGAGAATATGGTGAAGGATGATTCAGGCTAATCACTTTTTTTCCTCATCTCTGTAGACCCCTGCCTATGGATGTTGCACCACTGAACTCTCAAACATGCATTCATGTTTGTAATGAGGGCTTTATACACTGTAAGCCTAGTATAATATTCCTGTCTATGTCTCAATGTCCTTGTGACTGAACTGTGAAATGAAAGCAGCTAAAAAGAATTGAGCACTCATTAATTCCATTATTTAAATCTGTGCTTTTCTTACCATGACATATCAAAATGTCTTCCATGAAAAAAGGCTGACTGGATCCAGTGGTCAGACTACTATAATAGACCCTTCTCGGGCAGACATTTTGACCTTTCAAATCCGGAACAGCACATTAATAATATTAATGATGGCTGAATTCCATTTAGGTGAGCCAGTTTCAAGGCTCTGATATTGTGCATGCTGGCTCACTGACATTGCTTACTGGAACGTAGCCATTGTTGGTTCTATTTTTTGAAGAGCCAAAATGTCTGTGAAAAAAACACACACTATCTGTATAGATCCATAAGTAATGTTTGTTTAACAGTTGACATGTTAATAGGACATGTTCATCGGTTATTGGCATTCTTCATTTTCAGATGATGATAAAAAATGTAAAAATGAAGTAACAAAAACAACATATAGGAACTATAGGAATATACTGGCTCCCTTTATCTTCTCATTTTTTGTGATATTGCCAAGTATCCAGCAGATGGCAGCATCACACAACATGGCCAGAGACCACATACCTTTTCATGGAAAGTTGGATTTATTGGCACGAGGCAAAGACAGCAAACCCCTACAACCCCTGACATACTTTACTTTGCTCACTTACTCAATTTTATTTTTTGAGTGAATTTTTTAAAACTTTAATAGATGTCACATAGTTGATTGATTAAAAAAGTATAAGTTGTGTTTGTATGTATTGGTTCCAGTGCATTTAGTAATTGAGAAAGACTTCTGGGTTCACACTACCACATGCCAGGATTTTTGATTCTTTATTTATGGTACTGTATTCACAATAATTTGCACTATAAGAGAGAGACATATAAAGATAGCTTAAAATTGCTTTTGATCTCACATTTCTTCCAGTGATTCCATTTAGATTCTATGATGAATATTTGAGAAACGTCTGCCTGTACAAGCAGCATCATATCTCTTAGACATTTAATTTTTCAGTCTACCTATGGTATCTATATCACTATTTCTTTCTATAAATCATACATTTTATGTCTGTGCAGAGTACTGAGCATTTCATGTTTCATGTCTGAGCAATTACCCAGACTGCGCTTTCATCTGCAGTATTGCAGGGTAGTTGTACTAAAGCAGTGATGCCACTGTAGCTTGGATATGTGCTTTCCTCTGGCAGCCTGAAGATCCAGTGTCCAACACAGTGCTGTGAGCCAGTTGAACTCTGGCCTTATGAGTGGCTGCAGCTGGTGACAGTGGGGGTCTTTGATGGTAGGTCGAATCCCTGTGAGAATATGACTGCCTCTGCAGCCTCTGGTTCCGTGTCAGCCAGAATCACAATTACATAAGTGACCTGCCAGCATTCCTCTGTCATAGTGGCAGTGTCTCTTCCTGCCGAGCTGAACATGTTGAACCCCCTGAGGCCAAATTCCAGCCAAACACTACTTCTTCTGGGCATGACACCTGATTTACTTTGACATTCACATAGCTGAGTTGAAGTTGAAAGACCTAGCTGTAGGAAGGTTCTGAGTATGATTGTTGTGGAAATATTTTTTGCTTTACTTTTAAGTATGATGACTGTTGACATTGCTACTGCTACCTAAGTGTAAATTATGTTATTTTCATTTTATCCTCTAGGTGTCAGTGCACTCAAAGTGCAAATGCCTGCTCTGTCCCCCACCATGGAGGAGGGAAACATAGTCAAATGGCTGAAGAAGGAAGGTAAAAGAAACAGATGACATAATACTTTCTTTGCAAGCTCTCACTACCACACTGTTCTGCTTGACTTCTCTTAACTAAGCTGCTAAAACTTCTGTGTGTTATAATTTGTTATCCAACAAATTGCATTTTCTTCTACATGTAATTCCCTTCTCGTTGATGTTACTACATTCGTAATGTTCCCTCCCAGTCAAAACATATGCAATTCTAACAGTAACAAGCACTGCGCCTGCGTTCATTACATCAAAAAGCTGAATGTTTCTTTTTTCGCAAAATGATGGACCCACGGCCACACTTATCATTTACTCTGTGACATCATTCTGCTCTGTAAGGCAGAAGCTTGAGCAGTGGAGCACCTGAGGGCCTCTGGTGGCTAATTGGCTCAAGGAAGCACAGCAGTCACAATTCATCACTGCTTAGCAACTCTGCTCAGCCATGCGCCGTAGCCACACTCTCATTTATCAGGAGGCAGCACACTGAATTCTGATTGGCTCCTCTGCTGTGTTGCCATGTGCTTCTGTGGCTCGGGGTGAGATATGTACATGTGTGTGTAAGTGAGAAAAGGAAAAGAAGGAAAAATACATTCTCAGTGACAAGCAAAACACATCCAGGATGCTACTTTCTGTCCCCAAACTCGTTATATGATTTTAAGAGAGCTTCCAAAAAGCACTTATTTTGTATGTTTGTGATATGATTAACTGCTTTACATGGAACCTTGTGTGAAGAAGTGTTTTTTGTAGCATGGAAAACGCTACAGTTTAACACAGAATAAAACCCCTTCTCTGGAACTGTTATACTTATACTGTTATATTGTTATACTGTTCCTGCTATTTGTTCTGTACAACTAGTATCTTAACGTATTTAATCAGCCAGCCAAATTCAAAGTGAAGCTATAATTAAAAAACAGATAAGACTTACAATGTCTTTTTGCAAGCATAGCAATGCTACTATATGATTACAACACAGCTGGCCAATAAGTGCTGTAAATGTCATGAGTAAATGATTTGTTAACACGGTCATACATTAGCTTGTAATATTATTGTAAATTGGCAACACAGCAGCACCAGAATGAATTACTGTTAATGTCAATCTGCATATAAACAAACTAACACTGTCCATAGAAAGTAAATCTACTGTAGATCACGTATACATTTGAACTAAGGTTATAAACAACCAAAAAACTTTAAGCCGTTGCTTTCAAGGGCCTGAGAAAAATGTAAGACATGGGTGAAGCTGTCATCATACACACGTCTGCACCACGCAACTTGTTTACATGTATTCAATGCAAACCAATGTAATACTGTGCATGAATTATGTTCAATTACCACATGTACATTAACTCTCTTTAACTGACTTAAATCAGAGGACAGAACAGTAGCCTGAGTGTCTTTTTTTGTTGTTTTTCCCACTGCCTTTCTGGTTGAGCAGAAGTGAAAAGGCTCAGGGTCGCCTGTTTAATCTTTAATATTGCACATCACACCTAACCCCTGGGGTCAGATGGTGTTAAAGCCTCATACAAATCCAATCTTGACTCTACTACTGCTTGCTCTCAGGGGCTTCCAACGTCAATACTGCCTCTGCTCTTTCAACCTTCCCCTCACCCACCCCCATCTACTCTTCCCTTGACTCACCCGTTTTCCTTCCCATACATCTCGCATTCTTAAATACAGCCTACAAACGCTTTTTCAATTTAGGTATTAATATGAGATTTTATGAGATACTTTTTGCCTTTGTCATGGCACTGCCCTTGATTTTCCATCTCTTTGTTACATTCCCAGATGCACCCCTCTTACAGCTTTTTCTGCCAGATGATACGAACGTGACCAGATGTCAGATCTGGATAACCCTTGACCTTTTTCCCCATATACCCTTACCTCCGTGTCACATCTTAACACATGGACGTATGCCACAAAGAGGTTTCAATCATACTGTGCATTGCCTTGACTATCTGTTACAAGAACATGCTTTAACTTCAACATTAAACTAGTGATTCTAGCAAGCATTTCCTGTATAAATGAGCTGCACCACTGACAACAGCCATTTTTCTTTTGCTCCTCTTTTTTTCCATGGACACAATAAGGTCCATTTTTTTCTGTATTTTGCTGTCGGAAGCCCATTTGAGCTGTTGCACAAACAAGTGTAGCTCAGAATGGCTATATGAGCGTGGAAGAACTGAAGCAGTGGCTTCTAATTGCCATCCTCTTTCACCGCTAAGCAGATGCTAATATATTCCAGCTCTCTCATGTAGTAGACCAGTGGGAATCTACTGGGACTTTAAGGATAGGCAAAGATCTCGCCTTCTATCAGACATGCTGCATTTCAGTATCTTTCATTCTTTCCCATGAAACATTGATTAGGCTCATGTCAGCCAAAGCCCGAGCAGATATTTCCCGCATAACCTTTTCGTCCCTTCAATGGAACTCTTTCATTTTTATGGCAACTAATTTGTTCTCTGTGTGTGAAAAGCCCCAGTGAAAGAGCGGTTGTTTTCAACATGCTGCTGATAATTGTGCTTCATGCATTTCCAATCACAGCTGAAATAAATCATTTGCACTTAAAACCTCCTTTCATAATGCAGTAACTTTCAAGTTTGTTTGGTTGATCTGTGCTTAGAATGACAAATAAACGTTTATGTCATATTTCAAGTTCGTGGGTGTGTTTCTTTAACCCCTCAGGTGAGGCAGTGGCAGCAGGTGATGCCCTATGTGAGATTGAGACTGACAAGGCTGTTGTTACCATGGAGTCTAATGATGATGGCGTCTTGGCCAAGATTTTGGTGAGTATGCAGACACACACATAAACATCCTCTGCAGGAAAGGATTATATATGGCAATGCATTTGCAGGTACAGTCATATTTAAGCTTTGGCTATGGCTTTGGTGCATTACCTATAAAAGTGGGGAGTTGGGGGTGTATTTAAATCCTGTGTATTTAAGTATGTGTCAGCACCAGGATTTTAAATTGTACTTTTAGACAATATTAGTCTTTAGTTTTCAGTTCTTCTCTTATTATACCTTCAAACTATGTAAAGTCAGCAATTTGCAGTAGCTATGGTGATTATTCAGTTTATATTCACATAGATTATAGTCCTGTTAATATTTGAGTATTGCAGGGTTCCTTAATTGCCTGTACTAATTGGCTATGCTTGTTAAATCTGTTTTCCCTATACAGTGACAGCAAAGCTTTGACAGGGTTTCTTCAGTGACAAATAATTCTCTCCTTCCACCCCCCTATTGTGCTGTTCGTTGTTTGAATTTTTAATCAGCTGCCAAAGACAGAGCGATCAGTTGTCTTTCATCAGTACTCCACCACACATCCGTTCCCTTGAACAGAAAGATAAAGATGTTTTCACATTTTTCGCTTTTTGACTGATCTGTGAGAGATATGAATACAATATGTAAAATGAGAGGAGACAGAGGTTATTTGAATAAGATGAAAGTTTATTTTCCCTATTTTAAAAACTGAAGAATGATGGTGAGGTGTTGCTCTGTTTGTTCCCATGTGTGCACAACAAGCCAAAGCTTTGCTCCATGTCACAGAATGTCTTATCTAATAAAATGACATGTTCCTTGGCCGTGTAATTTTGGACATGCTCGTGTTCTGGTGAAGCCTGAGTGGAGCAGGGTTTAATTAGGCGATGCCTGTTTGTGCAACCTTCACAAAAAAACAAATACACAGCCAGTCTGCACCAGCAGATTCACATAACAAATGCCCACCCAGATTGTCCATGAAGAATATGCAGTCCTTTTAATATGCACTGTCACACACTTAGAAGTGGCTAAATTAATGAATTAATAATCAGAGGGATGAGTGTCAATTATAAACCATATGCTTATATTTCTGCCTTTCACTACACTTGCTTCCATTCTTCCACATTCCCTCACTCCATCCTTGTCTTAGCTGCAGTGGGGATGAGGTAGTTTCCATAGCAACCACCCAAGAACTGGGGGTAAGGGCTTTAGCACTGAAGCTGGCAGAGAAAGATGGTCTGCATTAGATAAGCCCCATAGCTCTTTCTCTCTCTGTCTTTGATAGAGAGTATATGTGTTGTTAATAAGAAAAACAGCAGCTTGTGGCAATATTTTGGAGATTTCTACACTCCCCTACATGGCATGGGCAATGTGGCATCCACTTTGTCTGGGTCAGACTACAATAGCCCTTGATGGTATAATTGTGGCTCCAAGCACCCAGTAGGTTACTAATTTAAAGGCTGCTGTAATTACCTGCCTGTGGCCAAATGCCTGGACAGGCTGCAGTAGATGTGGAACTTCCTGTGCTCCACAGGGGTTATTTATGGGGGTCAAGTACCTCTATGGCCCTCTACCAATTTCCAACCATGGCTCTTGGGGGTGAGAGAATGGGAGAGAGCTCCTGCTCATATTGGGACATAGGGGCTGGGGGTAGGAACACCAGCACCATGAGCACAGATTACTGTATCTCATCATACTCTTACTATGTTGCTCTACCCTGACCTGAGGGCTTCAAGCTGAAAATCTACCTTGGGTACAATCAATCATAGCCTGTAGGAAATGACACATGTTTGCAAATGCATGGATGCACATTGCTCCTCTGTGTTCAGATCTTTTCAAAGATGAATGATACTGAGCATGAAATGGAGAATGTCGGTTTAAAAATGGATTAATAGGTAGATGAATTTGGATGAATTGGTGATCGATGTAATGAATAACGTGACAGTTAGGACTGATGGGTAGATAGTTTGTAAGACTGATAAATTGATGAAGATATCCAACACATTTGGTGATACTAACCTGTCAGTTTCCCATTTATCATTCCCTTTCCTTCCACTCTGCATCTCCACACACGGTCATCCAGGAGATCAATTTAAACACCAGCAGCTATGTGTCCTCTAAATCAATAGTTAGTATAAATCACTCTCTGACCTTTTGAGGTCAAAATAGAAGAAAGGCCTGTGTCTTTTGTCAAAACAGGAGTACATAACCTGTGGGCTGTTGGCAAAAAGACTTATTTGGATAAGTTTATAATTCATGTTTTTCTTCAAGAAAGATCAGCTGGGGAAATGTGGGGAGGTGGCACATAACGGTTATGGTGTCTTTACTTTTCCTTGACAGTTTAAACTCACAGTGTTAAGGTTAGACAGCTAAACAAATATGAGTCTAAAAAAATTAGACTGGGAGATTGATTCTGCATATCTGGTGTGAATTGTCCTTATGTTTTACATTACATTGGACTGGTCATGTTGTTGCTAAGACTAAGGATGTTGCTGCGGTCCTCTTTGTGCAGTATCTGTCATGCTCTATTGATCAGAAAAAAACATATCTCACTCCCTAAAACAAGATCTCTCTCCTTTTTCTTGTGCATGCTGAGGCTAAATCTACCAAACCTTTGTGCACTGTGAAGTTAAAAGAAATGTTGATAACCGTTGAGGTTAAGCTTATTGTAACTGAGCTGTTTCGACACTCAGTGGGCTTGTATGGGTGTATGATAACAGTTTGGTGATAAGTAGGTTAAACCTCATAAATGGTCTCGTCTGACTTTGTAATATTGTTAGCCTGGCTGATGGGCTCTGAGGAGGTCCCTTAAGAGCCCTTTCAGAGATAAGTTCGACTTTTCCCAGTGAGAATGTTGCCATTGAAATGCCTAACGACTAGATGAGACTTGCAGGCTGTCTTTTTTTACGGTCATGAGCCCATTTACATCGGGCAGCAGAGAAAAGGTGGCTGTGAGGACATGGCATGAAGTTCAGAAGTGGCCATTCATTCTACACCCATGTAGAATGCGTAATGCACAAATTTGCGTTTTGTAAATTGTGAAGGAGGTACAATTTACTTCCTTTCAACTTTCTGTAAGTTTTGCATTGTCCAAGTTTACACAGTGTACCTGTCCAAACACGAGTATAGAAAGATGGTGCAGATAAAATATCTCTTCTAATTTGACATGCTCACAGTAAAGATGGGAATTTACTACTAGCTTTTTCTCTGACAGCAGCACCTCTTCGGGCAGGACCTTGCCAAACACAGTGGATATCTGAACCATTGCAAACAGTGATGTTCGAGCATCATCTACACTTCCCATATGTTTCACTGTGTTCAATAACCATTTGATGGCAGTGTTGAGCCCCACACCACTACAGTGTACTAAGCATGTGTTTATGCAACTACCCACCATGCCTAGCGTATACAGAGCATATGATTTTACCGTGAGAATTCACCCATCCACCCAAGTAGCATGGTAGCAGCTGTGTGTGGTTGTGTGTGTGGTTGTGTGTGTGTATGAGTATGTATAAGAGTACTTTTAAAGTGGTGAGCCATGAAACCACTCTCAGTTTAAAATGTGGCACATATTTTGTTTTTAACTACTATATATGTCACATAAGGTCTCATGTGTGACTCAAGTCCATCACTATCCTGTGTATTTTTGATTATCGTTTCCCCCAGTTTGGCGTCAAATTATGACGCATTCGCTTATGACCTTTTGCTCCGTTGTGGCTGTTAGTTGACGTGTGAGCACATCCCATTGCGTGTGTATTTTTAAGCACTTCACATTCCATAGAATACTAATAATAGTGTATATTAGGTATCACTTCATTTGGTCGATTGTTCTCTTTAGGGGTATGGCTGTCTAACAATTTATCACATAACCACACTTACTGAAGGAAATGTGTTGCTTTGCTAGTCTCTACTGTGTGTATGCCTGTGGGACTGAAGAGAAGGATTTTCTGTGGAAATGTACAGAAGTCCGGATTTCCCCGAGTAGCCCTTAGGCTTTACCCTCATCCATCAACTCCCACTGGCCAAGAGAGGTGCTGTAGAGACATTAAACATGAAGAACGAGGCGTAAGACAGGCTGAACACACAAATGCGCACACAAGCACAAAAAGAAAAAAAAAACACATATGACCGAGAAATTATCCTTAGGGGAAACGATAATCAAAAATACACAGGATAGTGATGGACTTGAGTCACACATGAGACCCGTTGTTGAAGATATCTGTCAAGTTTTGTCAGTATGTTGTTGTTGTTGTGTTGTGTGTTGTTATTTTGTACCAGTAGATTAGAATAGCTTTGTTCTTACCATCACCATTAAGTTTGTTAATACAAGTGCAACACAGAAATTATTTCACGGTAAATTCCGATGTCGCCAAGGGAGTATTATCAAAAATGTATTTATTTACTAAATCGGCTGTAGGTAAATATTAAAGGTTAGTGCCTCAGTGCAACAGCACTTTGCACAGCATTGCTACTTACTTTCTCAGTCTCCAAGTTAATTTACACGGTCATCTTTGTATGTTTATCTCCATAACCTTGCTGCGGGACAGTTAGGTCTACATTGAACTAAAGCAGCACAGAATAAGCATGGGAGTGCATGTCTTTCTACCAGTGAGCACAGCTGTTCATATATTCCGCTGTCCGTTCCAGTTTGGTGAATATGATTATTAGGGTGCTTCTTATGTTTTTGCAAGCCTGTTAGAAGGAGGGGGTGACAGTGGAGTACGTTGACAACTGTGGATTTACTAATAGTGCTCTCACTTTGCACCATTTTATTGTGAAATGATATCAAATTTTTTCTTTTTTTTTTTATTAAGAATTGCAGGTTATCAACTCTTGGCTGATCAGTGGTGTAGGTGGATGATTAAATGAAAGAGCACAGCTAGAGTCAGGTGTCTTTTTGCCATTTTCGGAGGGCCGTCCTTTACTTCCTCTTCTTCTCTCCTTGTATTGAGCTGTATCTTTAAGAGACAGCTCACTAAGTGGATACCTTTTTGAAAAGAGATGAAGTGAAGTAGCCCAGCCCTGTGTATTGTGCCTTGCCTTTCATTTACACTGATCAATATTGACTGAGGACACCTTGCACAGCTCGGGGAAAGTGGGGAAAGCAGCGAAAGCAGTGGATTTGGAGTACTCTTTAACAAGATAGTGAATCAATGGTTGACAGCTTTGAACAGCATGAAAACACATCTATTGCTCTCCAAGAACCTATTCCAGCACAGTCAGGTTCTTTGTCACGTTAACAGCAGAAGAAAATGGGAGTGATGGAAATTGATGTGAACAAGAATGCAATGTCATTTTTCAAGAGGTTCTCTAATAACGGCTGTCAAGAGGTTTGTCTGTTCAATGACCACCGGCGAACTGATTAACTTCAGTATCACTTCCCCTTCATTTATTCTTTTATTCAAAATTATGCACTAGGAGACCTTCACCTTTTATTAAAAATAATCTCAGTTGCACTTGAAGTGACTGAACCTGTTTTGCTAATATTCCCCCCATACTGTATAAGTAGCTCTCTCACCCTCTTTTCAGATGGAGGAGGGCAGCCGCAATGTGCGGCTGGGCACTCTCATTGCCCTCATGGTGGAGGAAGGGCAGGACTGGAAGCAGGTTGAGATCCCCCCTCCAGATGCTGCAGCTCCATCTGCAGCTCCACCTGCTACACATGCAGCCGCTGCCCCAGTTGTGCCCCCTGCTGCTCCCTCTCCACCTCCTCTACCGAAACCAGCCACTTCAGGACCGTGAGTGCTGCCTTCTATCTTTTTAACTGTTCCAATTCATACCCCTCTACTATTAATCAACTGGCAGCAAATTGCTAATACCTCTAGAGTGAATAGAGGTCTATGCACACACCACTGTGGTCATAATGGAGGGTTACAGCTCCTGGGCAGCAGTGGATGTGAACGTCTAAGTTTAAAATGTAGCTATATCAACATAATTCAGATTTATATGCTGTTTAGGCCTTAAAACAAGCTTGATTTTGTTCATATGTCAGTGTCTTGTTGAATTACCCATACTATGAGTCAGCTCTTTGTCATAGAGCTGTTAAAACAACTGATCAGCAAATGAGCTGATTCTAGAGACTAGCGCAGTGTTAGCATTAGCATTAGGTTATGCTAGTTTCTTTTTAAACATAGTTCTTAAATTACCCATCTGTGTTGTTTAAAATAGCCTTTAACCAGATTCAGTAGCTTAAAGATACATGAAGAATGAGTTGAAAATCATCCCTCTTTTTTCAGTGTACAGCTGTGGTGATTTATGGTCTTTGTGTCCACTACCATCTAACTTGCTGAATAAGGTTGTCTTTCTCTGCTCTCATTTCAAAATATGTGAGATCCTACCTGACCCCTGTTTACACAATAAATACTGCTGTGGAAAGCAAAGGAGCTGCCACAGAACAAACAGGGCCTATTTGTTATGCAAACTTTTCTGAGCCAGTCCACATATTCAGATTTGCACCTTGGCTGCATCAGTTTGACAGGGGTGAAAGATGAAAGGTGAATGTGTTGTGCTGCAAGCATGATTATTAGGAAAAGGATGCAGAAATGGGCCATATTAAGGTAGTCTATCTCAATACCACTGATGGACAGTTTGACACTAACTTTGTTCATTCCAGACTGGAAAAGAAACAACATGGATAGATTGTCATGTGCTGTATACAAGTATGTAGATTTGATTTGAGTAAGAATTGATATAATGATATAAACACAGCTTTGACTTTGGCAGTACATTGACAGTTCATTGGTATGTTTATAAATACATGGTTATCTACTGCTATTTCTAAAAGGGATTTGACTTTTTTTTAATAATTAACACCAGGATGAAAGTCTTTAAAACAAAAGCATAAAACTTGAAATGAAAATATTGTATAATTGTGTCATGCTCTCTCTCCTGTTCAGCTTACGTCTGAGTCCAGCAGCGAGACACATCCTGGACACCCATGGTGTGGATCCAAAACTGGCAACACCCACTGGACCAAGGGGACTTATCACTAAGGAGTGAGTATTAATGAATGGGTTAGCTTTAAGTCACAGAACATGCAAGTTGTGCTTTTCCTAATGCAACAACATATGATGTATAATCTCTGAGTTTCCACCAGGTTATTCCAAGCCCAGCGGCCTCTGAACCTAAGCATTCGGGAATTTGGTGCGGAAACCTTAAATATAATGGTTGGAAAGCTCATCAGCAACATCTTTTGTTTAAAGTACTTCATACAATGCAGCTTTAAAAATAGTATGATAAGCCATGTAGATCAATTCAGCAGGTCAAAGAAGAATTAATTTCAAGAAGAAGATTTAAAAATGAAGAAATTAGTTTTACATTTAGCCAACACTTTGTCATTTGTTCAAACTGGAAGCGATATGTCAGCAGTAGGTGCTTGTTCTCCACTTTAATAGGCCCATCAGATTGGACGGGTCCCCTTGTGGCCATCATAGTATCTCTGAAGGAAAGAGATGTCAGGCAGAGCAAGGCAGGTCATGGACACAGTGTAGGCAGTGTGAATGAAAATGAAAATCTGGGAGAGACTAGATGAGTGAAAAAGTGCGAAGAGGTGGATAAGATTTAAGGTGCTTTAATCCTGTTAAGTGGTGAATTCAGACTAAAGAAAGCTGTGAACACACACACACACACACACACACACACACAAACACACAAACACAAACACACAAACACAAACACACACAGCTCTAATGCTACCTGCTGTCAGTGGGGACCTGATTGAATGCTCTCGTTACCCACCTAACACCCTGCTGGGGAATCTCATTAAGAACTTCTGTCGCCATAGCAACCTATTCTCCAGGACCCACTGGTGACCATAGAAACGCAGACCATATGTTTTCGGTGATGTGTGTCAGTAAAAGAGAAATACATTTGAAGCTTAATAAACCAAACACTGTAAAGAGTGATAGCTCATAGAAATTCAGCGAAGCCTTTCTTCTTAATGCATACCTTGTAAATGTATCAAAAATGGTTGATTTAAAGCTGGATTTATGGTGTAACCACAATAATTTATATGTTGTAAAACACCGGTCTTATTAGTCCTAATAACAAAGTTTGTCAAGATGAGAGAGCATCTCATATGCCCCCTTTTTTAGGCAATGTAGAATAGAGTAGAGTATTTTTCTCAGAAGTCTGGTACCAGGTTTGTACCCTTTCTGCCTACAGAAAATTACAATTCAAAATGTATGATACAAACTTTACTAACTAGCAAAAAGGGAACACTGTTGAGAGAAGGCAATTCCTTTGGTATAAAGCTGTAATTAAGTAGTTGTAGTTAATCAACACAAGCATGCAAGCAAGAGTGTCAACATGATTTCTAGGTTTTGAAGTTTAGATTGTTTTACTAATGTCGTTTAATTATATCCCAATGATTTGCTTTGACATGATTCCTCAGTTGCCTCTCCTTTAACCATGTGTTGAGACTTGCATGAATGGTTTGCCTATTCACTTATTGACACTTTAGCTGGCTAATTAGCTCAGTACGTCTTTAAACAGGAGGGCTGATGCTGAAAGAAGACAGAAGAAGGTTCAGCAGGAGATGAGAGTAAAGAGGTTTAAGCAAAAACAATGTGCCTCTTTGCTAAGAGGCCTTCCTGAATTGAATGGTGGGCTGTTATAAACAGTTTGCTTGCCAAGCCACAGAAAAAAAATCTGTAAAGTCTCACTTTTAAGGCACTACAGCACCTAGACTGGAATGGTGTGTTTTTTCTGTTTTTTACATGTCTTCTTTGGAGAGAAAGTGCAATTCAGGTTTTGAAAACAGTTTCAGGAATAGCTGAACACAAATGTAATATGTGGAAGATGCCGAGTACGATTACCAAAATGAATCATCCTTTAAAACGCTTCACAAAAGCTCTGTAGATGACAAGTCTGGGGTTGTAGGCTAAAAGCCACAAACTGTGTCATTCTCATGGATGCACTGATCATCAATAAGTGTGTAACGTCTGCTTGCTTGAGCCTGAAAATTCATTCGCCAAAGTTTGGCTTCATGGCATCAGTTTAGCCAGTGACAACTTCGGTAAAGCAGCCAAAGGCAGAACCGAGAGGATTTGTCTGGAAGTGGTCTGTTTAGCATAATTTTAGGAAGAAATAACATATTTAGTACACATCTGGTAACCAGTTGATGCCAAAATTTTAAAATTGGTTTGCTCTAGCCTTTTCCTTCTTGCCAGTGTCCTTGGGAAGCTTAGATGAAAATGGCTGAACCTAGGTATACAGCATGGGCTATAGCTTAGGTATGTTGTGAGACTGAACGGTTCTGTTCTTGTCGGAAACCAAATCTCCTTGTGCAAATAGTTTCACATCGGCTTAGCCCCTTCAAGGGAGAGCAGAATAGACCTGAATTCCCTTCCTTTGTCCTTTGGCACATCAGATAAGACTGAAACCAGGGAAAGGTACCCCTCCCATTCCACCCTAGTGAGGCCCCTCTGTAGTGGGCATGAATAACAGAGGTCATGCAACCCAGAGATGAGATCATAGCATGTTACATAATCCACAGCAGGGTTTAAAAACACACTGAGTACAAAGACACACTTTTGTATCACGGCATTTTCTCCTCTTATCTTTTATTATTGTCATCATTCATCATTTCCTAAATGTCATGAATAGCCATGTTAGCTAAGAGGCAAGGCTAACAAAGTAATGGGCAAGGTTTTCAATGATTTTTACCTGACCATAGGCCATACCAGTCTTTGTTTGTATTTTCCTATAGGCAGAATGACTGTATGACTGCATCCTGTGTAAATGTGGGGGAAACACTAAGTTATATTTAGAGGATGATTCTTGGATTTGTTGGATTTTTAATTACTGATAAGTAGAAGTATACATTTATCATCAGCCTTCTGATTTCACAGATTAAGCAAGTAGCCCATTTAAGCTATCAGCTCCTTCCTTTACGTACTAATTACAAGCTGCCATTTTGGTTGTGCCAGTCAGTTTAAGATATATTCAGAATTTAAACATCAATTAATCGACTTCTAAGCAACAAATCTAAAATAAATACACTTTCTTTGGCACTCACAGAATTCTTACATCTCTATTTATTTTACTTTTTGCTTCCTGCAGCATAGCAGTAAAGTACTATGAATGCAAAACTTATGAAAAAGGGTTAAATAGCAATGGGGGCTGACCCAAAAGAGCAGAGACATGTTTGACCTTGACCAACACAGGAATTCATTAATAACAAAAGGTTTGTTTGTTCCCTGACCCTCTGTCATATACAACTCCAGACCTGCACATTAGAAGTCATTGACAGTAGAAGACAAAGTTTATTCATGTCTGTCTGTACATTTGGTGCTCATTTTAGCTGTGTGTGTGTGTGTGTGTGTGTGTGTGTGTGTTTGTGTGTGTGAGTGTGTGAGTGTGTGAGAGAGAGACAGCACTGCCTCAGCTCCTTTTTAATATTCCAGTCACCCTCTTTCAGTCTTTCGGAGGCTCCTTTGCCTTGGCTGTCAGTAGTCAGTAGGGGTGTACATGGTGGGTGTGAAAAGCACATGCCGTCCAGCTACTCAAAAGGTATCTACGGTGTCATCGTCAAGTGGCACTGTAGGCTGCTATTGACTTGACTGCCTCTTATTTCATAACAGAAACATTGTTTGAATTTGTATACTGGATCTTCTTATACATTCTCACAATTTTTTAAATTAAAATACTAAGCATTCTGGGTCTCTTTTCATTTCTCTTTACTTTTTTTTTTTACTGACATTTAATGTTTAATTTCATATGAATCATCTTTTTTTTTTATTTCCTCCCTTCCTTTTTTTTCAAATTCAAATTCAAATCAAGTCATATACAATCTCTATGTTGCAATGTCTTTTTATTTATTATGTGGTGGTCTTTAAATTTGTCAGCAGTCTGTCAGGTTAGGGGGATTTCCAAACTGCCTCAGTCCCTCTACAAAGAAATAGCTTTATCAAGTGAGAGAAAAGGAGGAACTAGTGTGATGGAGGAAATAAAAAAGACACCGTTCAGAGAGGAACAGTGAGAAAATAGCTGTGGGGCCCAGACGGTTCCCGGCTGCATGGTGAGGTCAGAGGCAGCTGGTCCAGACAAAAGACTGGATGCATGTGGGGAGGTGGACCCCAGTGCATTGCACTGGAAGCGCAGAGCTTCAAGCGGGCACACGTGATACCTGCCCCTCCCACTGCTTTTGCTGCTAAGAACAAAATTAATGGGTGAAAAAAAAATCCAGGGCTCTACTGTTGATGATACATACATACAACCTTATGAAACAGCAGAGACATGCAGCTTTACATAAGGTGTCTTCACCAAAAAGTCTGTCTTACTTCATTTTTGGAAAAAGATGCTGTATGAAATGTAGGGATTTCGATTGGCTTCCCATACCAGGGGAAAGTATAATTAAGCCAAGGTTTTGAATAAGCTTGTCCCTTGCTGCAGCTGTCACCTGATCCTTCCTGGCCTGATGCGGTTTGTTTGTGACATGCAAATGATTCTCATGATTCTCCCATCCACCGGAGGACAACCGAAAGTTACCCATCTCTCTACAAGCCTGACACAAAACTAGACAAAAATGGCAGAGAGCTAGATAGTAGCTTGCAGAGTGGGAGTATATGGGTTAATAATGTATCATTGTACATCATTAACTATGCTAGTGTTGTTTTGTACTTTATTATTTAATTTATAGTGGTCACTGCTCATGCAAAAGAAAATAGTTTTGAATTAATTTTTCACAGTAAAAATTAGGCCGCCATGAATAAATGACATGATGAAAAGCATAGGTTGTAATATCATGATTTCATCTCCTCAGTAGTGGCATACTGGGAATCAGCCAGTATACATGTGCAATTCAACAACAATAAACCCAAATAAAATTGACATGAAAACATGATTGCAGCCTGCAGAATATTTCGGAGGAGGCTGAGAACCATTTCTTCCCATGTAAAACTTGGTGATCAAACAGGTGTTAACATAATGAATATTTCATCCTATCCAGATCAAAATTTTGAGAAAGTGTGCAGTTATTTTTGGGTTTCTGGACAGTCCCTTCACAGAATAATATATTTTTATAATAATATTAAATTATTATGTAGATTTGATTGTCTAAAATGTCAAAGTTACTATATAAAATGAGGCTCCATATAATTTTTTGGTTTTTACTTATTACTTATTATTTTGTTTGTTTAACAGAGATGCATTGAATCTCTTGAAGACATCTCCTGCCCTCAAAGCAACACCAGCCATGGCTGCTCCACCTGCCCCGAGTCCTGTTCCCACCCTGGCAGCTACCCCTCCACCCCCAGGCAGCAGACCCAACATACCTCCTCTCTCTGTACCAGGGAAGCCAGGAGCACCAGTGAGCACTCCTTACATGATCTCTTTCCCTCTCACACAAAAACACATACACACCACAGTGTCTGTTTTGTGGTACTGGATGGCCAACAACAACCCATTTTCCAAAATTTGGCTTGTGTCAGGGCCCTAAAGGGACTGATGACTGATCATCTTGAGTTTTACACACCTGTTATTGGCATCTTTACTCCTGTACTCTTGCCTCTGTATGTATTTGTATTTTTGCACATGGAGTGGGGTTGTTAGTAAGTAACTTCTGATAGCTCAGTTTCTTTTGGTATATTTGGTATGTGGAACACCACAAGCACCGTAATCAGCAAACAAGTTTTTATCTTGGTTTCCAGATTCAAGTCTTGTTGACAGCCCTTTCTTTAGTTAAGTTTAGTTTTCTGCACCATATTCATTTAGCCTTCATGGGCTATGTATTTTTGACTGACTCATAGCAGGTGAGATATGTCTATAACTCTTTTTTTTTTCTTGTCCCTAATTTTTCCCTGTTCTCTCTCTCAAAATGTCCTCTGCTTCTCATTCAATTATTTACCTCTCCTTCCCTCCACCTGTCCTCCTCAGGGCACTTTCACAGAGATCCCAGCCTCAAATGTCCGCCGTGTGATTGCTCAAAGACTAACGCAATCGAAGACCACCATCCCCCATGCGTATGCCTCTGTTGACTGTGACATGGCTGCCGTCATGCAGCTCCGCAGTGACTTGGCCAAAGGTAAAAACACAAGACTTGTGAGCGAGTGTTGACGCATTGTCACTATTCTTTACATGCGTTAGTGACATTTCCATCAGTCAATATCTGACAGTAACATTTGGAAGGAAACTTTTCCATGAAGATGTGGATTTCAGGGTTTTCACATGACTTTTCATTTGACAAAGACAACAGTCATTGAAAGAACCTGTGGTACATGTCCTCTCAGTCAGGGTAGTCATGTTCTTCAGATCTGGTCTTTCTTCACACCATACATCACAACATAAGGCCGATCATATGTTCGTAAGACACCCACAGTGTTTTAGCACAGAGCCGTAATCTATAATTTCAGGGTGGCTGTCTCTGCTATCTTGAAATGTCTCTCTTCAATTTAGAAAGTAAATTATATCAACAAACAAGTTCACTAAACAAAACTGGTTGGAATTGAAGCCGTTTTCATTTACAACAGTGAGGTTTCATTCATGTAGTTGTTTCTTTGTGTTTACAGAAGAGTAAAGTATTTTACCAAAGTTAATTATTTCTCTCTGGTTCAAAGTGTTTCAGATGGATTCTTTAGAGTCTTGCCTCTGTGGCTTTTTCTGTGTGATAAATTACAGTATTCATGATAAAGAAGAGACTCTATAGAAAGGACTATGTTTGAGGGTTATGTGTGCTAGAGAATAAAAGCTTTGTCCATCCATACATTATTAATAAGGCAGGTAATGTATGGCTAGTGTGAGCCTGGTAGAGCTTGATTAATAAATAGAATACTAGCAGGACCTAGCTGTGTTTTCCCCATGTTTTTGCAAGCAGCTCTTTCCTCAGCTTCACATCCTCCTCTGGCAATGGTATTGAGTAACCCACTACTTCCTGTGCAACACCCACCAGGATGTGTGTTTTTAAGATGAAGGTGTGTCACAATAGTGACCCTTCAACATTTCGCCATATTCAGCAAAGAGAATATTTATCCTTAATAGCCGCTTTTCATGGATTCCTTAAATGTAACCTGTGCTTACTTTGGGCCATTTTCATGTTGATATAGCAAGAGTGCTTGGTCAGTTTCCTATTTTTAAACACTTAATTCAACACACTATCACATATTTAGGTTTATTTAGCTTAAATTTGCCTAACTGTTGAACAAACAGTAAATCTCTCTGGGTCATGTCTTTTTGATGGAGGAAACGGGACGGCCATTCCAGACCTATTAGCGAGGTTGTGTGTGTATGAGGGATTCTCTCTCCGGTTGTTTTTGTGGACTCTCATTGTTCAGGAGCAGCGCGATTTCACGGTTAGCTCGTTAATCATCCCGCTCACAGCATTCATAACTGTCTGGTACAGCACTAATGGACACTAGTAAAAGTTGGCTGCGTTGCCAGGCTGAACCTGCCTGGTCTGCTGGTGTCAAATACAGAGAGGGAAGGGGAGCAAATGCTCAAGACTGAGTCAAATAGAGAGGGACTGATTCTGATCAGCTGGAGTACAGGACAACACAATATTGGATTTTCTTTCCACCTGAGGGAGTGTGTAGTATCATTCATTTACACTAGTGTGTGTGTGTGTGTGTGTGTGTGTGTGTGTGTGTGTGTGTGTGTGTGTGTGTACAGCGCTATGCTAATATTTTCCATTTAGAACTTGCCCCTAAACAAGCTGCTATGTGCAGTATCACACATCAGAGGTCTTGTACAGAACGTGCCCATATGTGCATTTGTTACCCTTATCTGACTTTGACCCTTCCTTGACAGTACCTACCAGACCAGCATTTATTAGCTTTCCATGGTAACAAGCAGAAATCCCTGGTGTTGATTCTCATTTGAGCTTGAATCAAGCTCACATACTGTGTCTTCTTTGTCTTTTCAGAACAGATCAAAGTGTCTGTTAATGATTTCATTATCAAGGCAGCTGCTGTTGCACTGAAAGTAAGTATTGTTAAGAATCTTTTTTTTTTTTGCTGTCATTTTCATGCCAAGCTTTTTGTTTATTCATCATTACTCTGTATATTTATAATATCCTATTCTACTTACTACATGCCGTCAAGCATCTGATCTTTTTTGTCTTTCATAGCTTAACACTGTAACACACAGAGAGTTCATACTGTAAATGATTTCCAAGTTACCATTGGTCACTGTTGTCCCTGTTGCTAAGGTATTGGTGGTGGTGGTGAATCAATAGCCTTGCCCTTATAAGATGAAACTAAATATAGACGCAAACTCTTAGTTAATTTTGTTCTTGTAATGGAAAATATGAGTAAATTCTTTAACCGTCCACCTCCCTGAGCAGTTTAAGAAAACACAAATTGAGAGAAAGAAATCTCAAAAATGCATGTTTACGTTTACATTTTTTTAAGGGAATGCTGTAAAGAAAGCTGCTGCTGTTTGATTTGAGGAATGCATGGGGGAAATGCAGGTTAAAAATAGATGCAGCCCTGTGGTAATTTAATTATTTCAGCAGGGAATTTCTCAGCAGCATCTGATAAGAACAGCACTGCCTATCAACCTACATATTTTTAATCACTTATCGTGGAATATTATATCTGCTTCAGTGAATATGTGTCAACCTTAAGCATTTACATGTACTAGACACCATGGGTGCTCGGCATTGCACCATAGAGACTGTAGGAAGACATGTAGACACACTGCCGCATGAAGCAGCAACTGAGTCTGTGTTACAGTAAATGTTAGGAATGTGGAACAAAAATGTGTACATTTCCCAGTTAATGTGAGTGTAAAATGTACCACAAGATAGTCCAGACACCATGTTTTACTGTACAATGTCCCGCATGACCAGAATACCTCTTTGGCTTTTTCTCTAAACTGAGATTTGTGATTCACTTATGTAACACTGTAACATCAGTAAATTGGCAAAAAAGCAGCTGTACTTTCTCCTGAGTTGACCTATGTACATCAGGAAGTGGCATCTGAGGCCAGGTGTTCATAACCCAAGAATTCAAGATAGATGTTTTGTCAGTTTAGAGTAACCTGTTATAACTGACGCTCCACCACAGAAGATTCATCAAGACCAAATAATTTATTATTATTTTTATTGATTATTGATGATTAAAGTATGATTATGATTATAGTAAATATGTTTTTAGGTTTACTGGCCTGATAGCAAGTGTGTACATTCAACTCCAAACTGAAGAATAATTTTACACATGTAATATGATTTGACTTTTTTGACTGTTATAATTGATTCCTATGCATGCTACAGGGCATGCCATAAAAATGACTTTAATTTGTTTTTCCACACTTATGAACTGCATGGGAACACCATGTAACCGAAGCAGAAAGGCTTTTTTATATGTCTTTGTCACATTATTTTTTCCTGTCAGGGGAAAGTTGACCTACGTACATCAGAAAGTGGCATCTGAGGCCAATTTTGTGTCGCCTTTTTAACAAAGTGGTGTGCAGTGGCATGTGTTGCGCTGTGTTCATAACCCAAGAATTATTTTTCCCTATCAAGGAAAATAAAAATCTGGGCTGACCTCTGACTTTTATCTTAGGAGATGCCAGAAGTAAATGTGACCTGGTCTGGTGATGGACCCCGTGCACTTGATTCAGTCCACATTTCAATCGCTGTGGCGACCGACAAAGGCCTCATTACGCCCATCATCAAGGATGCTGCAAACAAAGGAGTCCAGGAGATCTCAGCAAATGCTAAGGTAAAATTTATAAACCATTCTGTTACAATATGTTATTCAGTAGCCTTGTGAGAGTCGCCTCCTGAAGCTGTCTTGCAACAGAACTTTCCTCATGTTTCTTTGCTGTTGGTAGATCATAACTTCAAGCTGTGGGGGCGTTCAGTGTACCACCTCAGGTGAGGGAGTTGGGACTTGACTGTTCCTAGCTGTATTAGAAAATAAACTCTATTGGCATCTGTAGAGTTGTGCTCATCTAGGCCCCCTGGCTACAACTTTATTGCATTTTTTACTGTTATCCATCAGATTGTGAAGAGGGGAAATAGTCTTTTCAAATCAACTGGATAGATCTCATTAGACTAGGCATAGTTTGATTTTTGGGTTGTTATGTTGCAGGTCTCAGCTGTCACTGGTCACAGGTGGAGTGCAAAGCAACAATGGTCAGCTCTTTCTCCTGCTCACAGTCAGCAGCTGGGGACACACATTTATTCACAAACACACAAATATGCTTTCAAAATCTGATTTGCATGTACACACTTGATGATTCGAGTTTCACTCTCTTTCTCGCCAAAGAGACACACCGATCAAATAGACGAACTCCTGCAGATATCAGGGTAAACAACGTCATATTTCTCACCAGCAGTGACCAGGTCTAATATTCCCCAAATGTTCAGCATCCATATTTATGCATGTTATGTCTCTGTGAAGATATGACTTTGATTCATCAACTGTCAGCAACCAAGCATGGAAGGCTCTTCACTGTTTCCATGAAACAGTGTTGTCAAACTGGAAGACTGCTTTTTATCCTCATGACGCAGCGTTGCCTGAATAGTGTTCACATCACATTTCAGTGTCTGCTGTAGTAATAGTAGCAGTGATAGTAGCAGTAGTAGCTACAGTGGTAATCGTGCTGACAGTGGCTGAAGTCTTTGTAGTAGTGACAATACCAATTTCAACTTGGCAGGGGTGAGAATATGTGTGGTAGTTGTCAATTTAGTTGTCAGTAGTCAATTTATGACTATTCTGCAATGGTGTAAATCCATGCAATCAGATTTTGCAGTAGATGTAAATTGCGTCTGTCTGTCTGTCTGTCTGTCTGTCTGTCTGTCTGTCTGTCTGGACAAGTATCTTAGCACATTAATGCTATACTGTAATGTAAGTGTTAGCAAAACTAGCTGTGAATATGGTGCTTCAGAGTTGATGGAAATGATGTGATGCCTCAACAGGTATGTAAGGATTAGTAATGTTAGTTCGTACATTTGCAACACATTATAACAACACAAAAAGTGATGATTATAGAGTGTGAGCGATCATAGTGTTATATGATATGTTGCAGTACAATACAGCACAGAATAATTGAATAATAATATCTAGAAATTTAATATCATTGTTAATATATCTTTACTTTATTTCTGTCTCCACCTTTTCCCTCTCTCTTCGCTACAGCTAACCTTGTATTACTGTGTCCAATATTAGATGGAATTGCTATAATATGTCCTCTTTGATTAAAAAAAAACAGTCGTTCTGTTCTTAATATCTATTGCCATATACTGTGTGTTAGCAGGGTGGTTTAGGGTTTTTCAATGTTGAGGTGTTTTCCAGTGTGGTTTGATAAAAGTATTACTATCCAATTTCTTGGGTTTTTTGATTTGATCATTTGATCATTAATTTTGATTCAAGTCAGATAATGTAATGTCTGTTGGTACTTACAGGCCAAATTAATGTATGAAATGTTACATTGCCAGTGCACACACATAACAGCTGCTTTAAGGCATGGGGACTAACACTAAAGACGTTTCAATCCTCTTAGGCTTTCAAAATGCACTTTGCCACCCACTACTATTCAGTTCAGTTATGCTGCTGCCTTGAGCTCAGTCTACATTTGAAAGTCCTTATTGGTCTCAAATTAAAATCAACATGTGGTTTGAATGAAGCATGGAGAGGTCGCTGCTGGCTATTGACGATGGAGCGGAACATAAGACTGTTTTTGTTGGAGCTCTTATCTCAAATGTGCCCACCATATCCCACTGTGTGTCAAAGATCCTGTGACTCATTCTCAACATTCTGTGTTGGTTGCATCCCTGCATTAACCTTTAAGTAAATTTCCATTTGAATAACGTTCATGCTGAATAGAGACATGGTGGCCATACAGCAGTTTTCAACTTAACTGAGAGCAATAGCTTGGAAAAAGATGAGTTTACTGATGCATTTTCAGCAAAGTCTGTAGTATAATGCAGAGCCTTTATTTTCAGCAAATTCAATTCAAATTCAAGTCTAATACTTAATCTGTGATATGACTGTATGCTTCTAGACTCACAGGAATCACTCTTAGTGAAGGTAAAGTGGATCATGTGTATGCACACCGAAACAATACCTCAATACCGTTCTCATCCAACAGATATCTTGTATTTTCTCTAAGGGTGTCACTCTCATTTATGTCCTTATGAAACATGGATTCACAGAATCTGGCTGCAGCAATGTGTTAGTTTTCCTCGTCAGGTTCCTCATATTCCATCTGGGTGTTGTCAGTTCCCTTTCTTCATGTAAGCATTGTTTAGTTGATAGTTTCCATTTATCTCAGTGATGGCTATTGGACATGTAATCATTCTTGAACATGATATTTGAAAATTGACCTGTGAAGCCTTTCATCAATATAAATTTGTGACTGAAAGGCTGTCATCACTTTTGATGAATTGCTGTGGATAAGAAGATTGTATAAAATACAAGTTTGTTGTGGGTTGTTGACTAATTAAGATAGAAAATATAAACCTTGTAAAACATCATGGCATAATTTGAATATTTAGTGATGTCTAGCTTTACTTGGTAAACATATCCATTTGGCCTTTTCAGCTTTTTAGCTATGCTAGCAGCATGGCTCAAGGGATGGCGTTGTTAGGTGGTCTGTTGTGTGGTTGGTTGACCACTTGGTCCAGATTTAAATATCACAACAGTTATTGAATGGATTGCCATGAAATATTGTACAGATAACCATTGTCCCCAGACAACAAATTCTAATGAAGTTAGTGTTCCCTCAGCTTTTCCCGTAGAGCCACCAGCAGGTCAAAGTTTTTGCTTGTCCTGTGAAATATATGAACATAAATTTGATGGATAGGCACAAAATCTTGTACGAACATGGTACAGAGCAGATAAATCCTAAGATGGTACTTCCTCGATAAGCTTTAGAGTGTGGTATTTAACAGCAGTTAGCCAGTACTATGTGCACTTATGCCTTTTTTCACATGGACAAATCAGGAGCACTGTGATATATTGCTTGAGTGATGAGTAATGTTTCTTTCATAGGCATTGGCCCAGAAGGCTCGAGATGGGAAACTTCTACCTGAGGAGTACCAGGGAGGCTCATTCAGGTAAACCCAAGACACACATCATCTCTCGGGCAAAGAAGAGACATATGGAAAGTGATGACATTATCAAATTTTATGTTTTTCTCCAATCTTTCGTCTATCGTGCAACTCTCTAATTTTGTCAGTTCAATAAACAGATTTTTTTTTTTTTATGTGTGGGAACAAAGGCCCTTTTGTCTTTAACACCTAATTCAATCTCACAATTTCCTTTCCAGCTCAGAGATAAGATCGACATCATAAATTTTCACCATTATGGCTTAAATCCGGTTTCACAAAGAGTCAGTATATTATGCAGATTCGACATTTCATGTGCTCCTGAACTGAATGTGGTCTTGGGCGACAAGGACCATTAGTTACTGTGCCATCAATTGCAGAAAAGTGGAAGAGAGGCTTTTCAGCTCATTAGAATTAATGGTGTCATTGAGACATAAATGGGGTTTCTGTGTCAGGCAGGAGCGATGAATTCCTATAGAGATGCAGTCCTTTTTGTCCTCCTGAGGATATGTGTGTATGCCATTCCTCTATTCGTTTTTCCATTCCCCTTGAGCTAGAATTCTCATTACGGCAAACTGCCCTCGGGTCAGTCTTACTCACCATACACAGCATTTAGGGAGAGATTTGGAGGGTGGTGCTGCTGTATTCGTCTGTACTGATCACTATTTCATAAAATAAGATGTTCACAGCCAATTATCTTTATACACTTAATTCACCCTCTAATTTTTTATTCACTCACTCTGAGTGGAAATGTTCTTTTTTGCATCAAGGCGCTGGTTTTAGAGCCACCATTAGGTCCATTTAGTTCATTTTTATGCATTTTCTCCCCCACTGAGCTTGACTAATGATGTAATATGTGTACTGCCTCTTCTTTCTTCCCATCACATTCCTTCCTCCCACCCTCCTACATTTCTATCTGTGACAGTATATCTAACCTGGGGATGTTCGGTATCAGTGGCTTCAGCGCTGTGATCAACCCTCCCCAGGCGTGTATCCTCGCTGTCGGGACCTCCAGGGCTGAGCTGCGACTGTGTGAGGATGCCCAGAGCCTGCGCACCCAGCAGCTGATGACAGTTACACTGTCCAGTGACGGACGGCTAGTGGATGACGAATTAGCCTCACGGTTTCTTGATAAATTCCGCGCCAACCTAGAACAACCGCAACGCATGGCCCTAGCCTGAAAAACAAAAAGATAGCGGTGTGAAAGAGATTGGAAAGACATAGGTAAGAAACGCCTGCATGACAAAGCCTGTCTCTTGCTTTTACAAGCAGAGAGCTCCTCAAAAGTTGATTCCCATTCATGCTTGGATTAAGGCTTACAAAGTAGTCTTGTACATAGTGTAAACTTGAGTTTGAGGCTTTCTTCTGACAGATAAATACTAGGCTTTGTGATGGAGGAGTTAAAGTGGGCTTCTGCTAGAGTGGTACAGGATTCTAGCAGTGGTGCCAAATATTACCAAGACAGAAGTGGCATAGCAGGGTGCATCCCACACACTGCAATAGAGATGGTTGTTCTATCACACCAGTGTTGTGTATATATATATAAAGTGGTTATTCCAATTCATGTTCTATTTTCAGTACCAGTGCATCTATTCTGTGTCATTATTACAACACACGCAATAGTACACGGGACTGTAACAGCCCTACTGTACATTTGTCAGAGATATTTATTACTGAACATCATTGGCAATACAGTTTCCAATAAGATTAAACCCACATACCATACATTTCCTATTGTTATGAAATTAAACAGAATTCAAGAATTGAATTAATTGTACATGTTAATATGTTTTAACTTATTTGAAACAGATGCTGTGACATCCCTGAAAACTAAGCTTTCAAGTGTACGTGTAAACAGAATAAATACAATCATTTAGGTTTCGGTGTCTTTAGATGCCAATAAAACACACCGTTCAACCTTCAGATGTCTGTGTGCCTCATTAAAACAAGTTTCTCCCCACCTACATGATATAGCACAGATACCAGGGAAACTACAGATGTGTGTGTGTGTGTGTGTGTGTGTGTGTGTGTGTGTGTGTGTGTGTGTGTGTGTGTGTGTTTCTATTTAATTCAAATCTAAAGAGATTATATAATAATCATTTCAAAGAAGCCAATTAGGATAATTTGCTGGGCTGAGTATACAGGTCAGCCTCGGCTGGCAGATGTGTATCTTTGCTGTAAGCGTGGGCAGAACAGCTGTTTACATATGTATCGCCACCAGTCAGGCAGAGCTTATCCGCGATATGAGTAAGCAGAATCTGGTATTGTTTCTTTTACAGATTACAGAAGAGGATACTGAAGTGGGGAAAGCTGTGATCACAGACTTTCTTTTGGCTCCAATTTAGATTTCCATTTTACCATCCACATATTGCTACAAGGGAGGTGTCTGAAAGTGACAATATGGTTACTGTTTGCCATTGCCTAAAGACACTTATGGATTCATGGCTGCAGCATTAACTGATTTACAAGATGGGTTTTCTGCATTTTTAATTCAGAATATAAATTACCTACGGTGAGGTGTGGCAGGCAGCAATAGAAGAGAGGTACAGGAAGTGCATTAATATCTAATGTGACAGTAACTCCAATAATGGCCTTTTTCTATACTATTCTGCTTTTTACTACAACCCTTCTCACACTTAATAACCAATTTTCAATGACTGGAGTGAGGACATTTTGTTCTCTGGTGGCTGAGATATCAGATAGAGATATAGGCATTCTTCATTTAGGAGGTAGACATATGGACAGGGTACACGGGGTGGGGGGCTCATAAACACCATACAACAATGTGGAAAAGACTCACTTATGTGCACATGCAGTTTTAATTTTTTCTATCTTCCCCATTGTTGTCATATTAAGCATGAAATGTCACTACTTGTTAATCATTAGCACTACCTAGCTGACATCCGTCATTCAGTTACACCTGGGTTATTATATTAGAGGCCATATTCCATCTGCCATCATCTCTTCTCAGCCTCAACCAGACTAATCCCTTTCTTCATCCCCCAGTTATCTCCTCCTTATTGAATTTAAATGTGGCATTGCTCGGTGAGCTGTGCTCATAATCCAGCCGCTCAATTGTGCAAGTCAAGATCTGATCAAATCAAAAGCAGAAATTGACACTGCATAAAAAGGAGAAACCAATGTGTAGGCTTCCATTAAAGCTTACACATGTCACGTGACACAATGGCAGGAAGTGAACACAAATGTATGTGTAGTATGAGAAGCTATTTTTGTGTTTTTAGCACACATAGATGAGATGATTGATGAAAAGAAAACCCAGAAACAGACTGAATTCTGAGAGCTAGTGATAACCACGTTAATGTTCGTAGAAAGGCTGTTGTCTCATGTTCTTGCACTATCATACATCCTAGCCGAATGAAATATTTGTGTTGGAACAAAACCTCCTAGTGTCATCGGTAAGCAATATCCTTCAGGCCTAATGTTTTTGAAGAAGTAGACTGTTGAAGCCATATGCTTCCTCTGTTTTATTTGCCCTTGGTTAGTGCAGTACTGTATGTCAAGATGGTGAAATCATGTTCCTTTATTAGACCTTAGTGCTATGTCGCACTTTGCTATCAGTTTGACAGCTGCTGGAGCAGTTGAACAATGCCCTTCCACATATGAGCTCTGCAAATGCAGCAAAACAGATTCTGACATTTCCTCGGCTTTCCCGTCACAGTCTGACATTTACTTCTCTTACTGCCGCCTGCCTATCTCTGCCCAACAATCTTGTTATGTGTAACAGCTGGATAATTGAGCCACCACACAGAAGGAATCAGATTTGCTCCCGCTGAGGTTTTGATGAACTGTGCGCAGGGTCTTGAAGATAGTGCGGGGGTTTGGGCAGGCGCGTAGGTCAGACTCATGGACACACAGCATGGTGCAGAGTGATGGAGGCAGTTGCTATGGAAACCAAAGTGGGCTAGTGTGCACTTATGTTGTGCTGATATTTGGATGTCCTTCAGATACGTCATCTGATGAATATGTTGGTCCAAATAGTAGAAGTGGTCTGAATGACTGAATACCAGAAACAGGAAGCAGCTCTTGAAAAAAAAAAAAAAACACAGGGTGGGAGGGTGTGGCACCATCCCTGAATCTGCACCCCACCCATTCCCTAAACCTCTATCTAGCCCCTCCCAGTCTTCCTGGGCTGTATCAAAGCTTGGGACCATTTATGAATTAACAGTTCCGAGGCTTTCAAATGAAATCAAATGGATTTTTAATGATACTCTGTCATCAGGGTCAATGATGAATCATTATATTCTTATATATACTTATATATCTTAAAAAACAAAACAAAAAAAATTATCCAATAATAAATAATTTTAGTCGGGAATCCATCCCTTTCTCTGGTCTCTCCTACACAGACAAGTATCTCTGTGTGAATAAGCTTTGTGAATGATCACCAGGGTTGGGGAGTGGCTTGCTCTCATCCACATTATCTCACGCTCAAGTTTGTTCAACCATTGTTGACAGGATTTCCTCTGGTCTTTCCATTTTCCCTTACTACCAGCACTTTTCTATTCAGTCATCTTTTAACTGGGTTGTAGACTATGCTTGCAAAGCCTACCGTAAAATGACATACTTGTACTTCCACTTCCCTGTTCTGTCTGAGTTCTGTGTGTGCTACATTTAAACCTTTATGACATTTCTTGAAACGCAACCTGTTACCAACAACCCCCATTTTTGTGCAAAAAAATATATATAATCAAAGGTCACTCTTCTTCACCCCTTTTGATTACAGTCATGACCCTGGTCTTCTTTGAAGGGTACAGTAACTTTTTATTTTGTGTTTTGATGTACAGCCATAGCCTCAAGTCTGAACCACTTCTGTGTCAGCAGCTGTTGCAGTCATATGAGGCATGTAAAATGGTTTGCGCAGATAGAATCAGAAGACTTAGAGCTTTCAAACAATGTATGATTTGTCAAAGTTGTGTGAAGACTGAGTCTGGTACAAACCAAAACACACCTAAAGTACCACTACCAAGGCCAAAGTGTCCCACATGTGGGTCGGTGTATTTAGAAAGGTCAAAGGCATGTGAATTACCCAGAGTGGCATCTGCAAACATTTCACCTGTGAGATTACTGAGGCTTATCATCACCGTGCTGACTGAAACTACGACCCAGATGGGGGATGACACAGGGCATTCCAGTTGGCTATACAGTACTCTGTGACACTCACTGTCCAAACACGCCCGCTCTGCTGTCCCAGCACCCAAACACAAGCGAGGCCCTCGCTTTGTTGTTGTTGCACAAAGCCTGGCCTTTTGAAGCAGTCCAGTCATGCTCCCATGACGCCGGGATAGCTCATCCAGCCCGAGACACTGCAGGGTGAGGCAGTGCTCATCCATCGGCCAAAGATACACAGTAAGGACACGCTCCTGACAACCTCCCTCACCTCTTCAGCGACCTCCAGCACAGGCTGCAACAAAGACAGCCTTCTGATTGCCTTCAGTAGCTTCACTTAACAGGATGTAGTTAAAGGAAACAAACGTCTGATAAATCCCAAGGGTTCACATGTTTTTTATTTTATTTATTTATTTATTTTTTTTCAGGTTTACCAGATGATAAATTTGTGAGAACTTGATGCTATATTTGTCACCAGCTGATATATTACACAAATGTTCCACACTGGTAACTGTAGACCATATAGTTCTCATCATTGCACCACATGAGTGCAAACACTCATATTCAGTGAATGTTTAGACAGGGATTGGCGGATTTCATCTCGCTGCTCTGTACGTATATGGACATCTTGCAATCTCTTCTACTCACATTCCAGTGACTGCACTGGTTGGAGGGAAAAAGGCACGTTGCCTAAGAGGAATGCTGAGGAGGTGCCATTAGTGCCATTACCACAAGGATTCCTGACCACAAGGACGTCTGATGAGAGTGTGTGTGTGTGTGTGTCCCTGAGTAACCATCATGGAAATTTTGTTTTCATTGCTAGATGCGTACTGTCTGACTCAGCAGTCTGATGTTTAATTCAGGGTTCAGTCATGCCCCATTTACAGCTGTTCACCTCTGGGGTTTTTTTTTTTTCCTTTTTGGGCTGCTGTGATGTCATACAGAAAACATAGCCAAATAATAACCATGGAGCTTTGGTTAACTGTTTATTTTTCTGACTAACATGGAAGCTGGTCTGGTTACAAATACAAGCTTTATCCTTCTTGCCTTGTTTTAACATCTTCTTTCAAAGCCACTTCACACTTAAATGAGAAAAAATGACCCTCTTTAGGTCACATTCATGTTCACACAGACTCTTAAACATGAATACTTGAGTTCAACTAGGGTGAACACGTATATTTTACTTGTTTAGACTAACAGTGATTGAGAGTTTTGTGCGTTCCATTGTAGTGGAGTGTTGACCGACTCAGTCTTTTTTAGCCTACATGGGACTGTGTGTATGTTCAGCTGTTTCACATTGACTCATCTGTTCATTAAAGAGAAGTGGATCAGCTTTGCAATTTCTCCAGAGAGAGAAATTAAGACAGAGAGGGAAACGAATTCTGGCTTGATAATCATTTGCCTTTAGAGCTTTTCTGTCATTCTCTGCCTATTTCCAGTTTTACCTTAGTTTGGACTATAAATGATTTTTAATTTTGACACATTTACATTCATCTTCATATTCACATATTGCACATTACATACACGGGGCAAAATTTCAATGAGGTTCACAAAAAACAAAAAACAAAATCATGAACCTTGCATGGTTTCACCTATATGGTGTAAACATCCTCCTCTCTGTATTGTTATTACTTCAGATGAACTATAAGCAAATATCACTATGGCAACATATGAAACAGGAAGTGACTCTGTGTAGGGTAGGAAGTGTGAATCATACTGACTGTCTGTTTTCTTCATAACCGTGACTTCTTTTGTGAAAACATGGGCGGGTGTGAATTTAGCTATCTGATAAAAAATACATTTGTTAGAATCAGTGAGAGAAATCAAGGCCAGCAGTTAGTCCCACATTATTAAATGCATCTGTAATATGCACTGCAAACTAAATCAAAAAATTATCCAACTGAATCTTAGTCTTTACATTTACCCAAAGACTATTAGTCAGTCTGTCTGTTTTTCAGTCACCTGTGAAACCATTTGTCTTGGTTTGCCCCACACCGGAGGTCAGTGAAGGTTAAAGGAAGTCAAGGGGATAGTCCCAGTGACCAATTGGGAGTACATTGTTTCTTAAGCATTGTTTATGTTCTATTTAACTCTTTTCCTGCACATTTATTTACGGATCATTATTAGCTGTGTGATGGGGTTTATGTTTAGGGCTCTGATGGCAGTCTTTGTGTTCAGGTGTATTCTGGCATTGTTATGGCTGACTTTAGGGACGGCGGCATCCATCGGTCAGTTGGTCCACCACTTTGGTCCAGACTGAAATATCTCAACAATTCTTATATGAAATTTGATGCAGATATTCATGTTACCTGCTTTGGTGATCCCTTGGTTTTCCCTCTATTGTCACCATAAGGTTGACATTTGTGGTTTTGAGTGAAATATCTCGACAATGACAGGATGGATTGCCATTACATGTGGTTCATGAGTGGACATTCATGGTCCACTCAGGATAAATTGTAAGTAATTCCTTAACTCTTCCTTTGGTGACATCGCCAAGTCAATTTTAAAATCCAAAACAAAATGGAGTACTTTGATTCATAACCAAATATCTGCTTAATTAATTCCCATCATCCTTAGCTGTACTTTGTGATAGGTGGCCACCACTTGCAAGCTAACACACTAAACAAAGGTGGTGAACATGGTAAACATTACACCTGCTTAATATTAGAATGCTTTGTCATTTTGAGTATTTTAGCATGTTGATCATAGCATGTAGCTCATGGCACCATTGTAACTCTATACAACCTCACAGAGCAACTATTGTGACTGTACACTCCCCCTCTTGTTAATTTACACTTCCTGTGTTTCACTGCTGAAGTGTGTGATAAGTTTCCTTTTCAGACGCATAGTATTTGCATGTTATCTGTGTTCCCAGAATCAGGACTTCCACAAAAGATTGGTCATAAAGTGGTCTTTAAAGTAGTGCTGAAAATAGCACCCGATATCAGGTCTCTGATCTTTTATCTGTATGATAGATAAGCTGTAGTGCTGCCATGTCACTGGGGGTCAGCATGTCTGACAAAAAAAAACTCTGCTGAACAAAAAAAAATAAAACAAACAAGCCATATAATTTTATAGTTTGAAGGACTGAATTACTAAGGATATTTACATTAGAGATTGAATCTAAATATGTGCAGTATAGGGCAAATTTCACCTCTCCCCATGGTCCTAAACTGCGCCAAACTGGTCTCAGCCCATAACCCCAAATATCCCAGTTTTGCCACATCCCAATATAAATGAGGTGAAAATGTTCTGATGTAAGTGCCCCAAGCTTTTGAGTGTACAGCCTAATAACGGTCGTCAACTGGAGGCGCCAGGTCACATTAGTTTATTTGAGTGCTATTCCCATGACTACAGAGTTACTGGCCATGGTGAGCCATTAGACATTCTTTATGGTTCGTTGGTGAGGAAGTCACACAATTACAGACAAACAGTCATGCTTTCTTATCATGGCTGTTTATTTGAGATATTGCACAATCACATGCGACCTGCACAAGAAGCCTGAGATGAACCCATCCCTCATCTGGTGAAGTGAAATGTTAAACCTGAAGTAAAAGTGGCGGCAAGTTTTTAACAATGGAAGTGGAAAATGCTCTTGATGTTGACATACTGCAGATAGCATCGGGATTTCCATGCTAGAAGTGTAGCTGGAACAGATTTTCCCGACCATCATTCTTTAAATAAGTGGCTTACTCTTGACTGGTGCTTGCTTTTGCATCTTAAACCTATTTCTTCTGATGGCTTTATGTATGTTGGCCAATCGGTGAAATGAGATCAAGACAGGTAAAAGCAGAGAGAAATGTGTCCAGCCTTTCAGAGATTTCTACCACTGCTCTGTGGATGTAGAAAAGCTTGAAGATGAGGTGGTTTTCTGTGAAATGGATGTGACCTCTTTCAATTGGTGGCACATGATCACACACAGAGGGAGAGGGGACAAGTAAATCTGATGAATTGAAAATGGAGTGAGGACTGAACAAAAGACCAGATGGGCTCTCTGAAACTGTTGCTGTCAAAAACGTGAAAAGAGGAAAAAGCGGACAAGGATAAGCAGCCAGACAGAAGGAGAGATCACCTTCTTCTTATCTTACCTTCTTCTCTTGCCTCTTTAGTGTGGAGGCAGAAAGGAAGAGGTGGGGGGGGGGGGGTAAGAGAGAAAAAGAGAGGCTGTGTGAGGTGGGGTGGGAGGAGAGGTGGGGCAAGTTGAGGAGAGGCAGGGTGTGTGCTCACATGAACCACTCTTCCCCTCCTACGTGTGTGCCACTAGTCTCTGTCTCTCTCAGGCAGAGAATAGAAAAGTTGGAGCAAAGTCTGAGTCAGCTCCAGCAGCTACCAGACACTCACAGCAACTCCCTCTACAGTACCAGTCTCTCTCTCTCTCTCTCTCTCTCTCTCTCTCTCTGTGTGTCTCTCTCTCTCTCCCTCCCTCTTTCTCTTTCTCTCTCTTATTTTTTTTGCTCTCTCACTCATTCACTCTCTCTCTTTCACACACGCATACACTCACACACAAATACACACACACACACGCGCGCGCACACACACACACACCACCCGTCACTCCTGGCAGAGGGAAGACAGGACCACAGGAGAACTGTTACACACCTTTACTACCAGATACTCACCCAGCCATCGCCAGACGCTTTGCCCAGGATGTGGATGCTTCTCTTGGGGGTCACCTTTGGATTACTGGCCTCCTCCAGGTCAGATCTTAAAGGTGAGGAGACTCTGCCTTCGCCCAGCGGATGGCTCTTTGTTTGTGGATTTTTCTTTTATACCTTATTCTGCATAAATTGTGCCTGGCTGACTGTCTGGCAACACTCCTTTGTCACCAGATTTTAGAACCAGACAGTATTGTTTGTTTTTTTTTGTTGTTTTCTTTTTTACCCCTATCTTGAGCCTGGTTGAGAATTTGAAAGACTGTTCATGTAAAGAGAAGACATTGAAAGAGAGAGGCTGTGCTCTGCTGCTGCTTGTAGAATGGACAAGTGGATGCCGGTAAGAGAGCGCGTGCTACACCAGCACAGACAGGCTTACGTCTGGCAGACTGAGACTCCTGACAGACACAAAGGAGACAGGCGCTCTTGCTCACTCTCTGTCTCACATGCATTCACACTCTGGGAAGTGAAGCTTATTTATCAGGCTTTTTGGATGATCAGTCTAGCTTTCAGAGTCAGTCCTTGTTTTCAGTTAGGTTTTTATTTTTCTTTTATTGCTGTGCTGCTACAGCTGGAGTCTGTGCTGCCACGCTTAATGCTTTATTCTCTGACACAAAGGATGTTCAGCAATCGCTGTAGCTTTCCCCCCCTCAATGTCTCCCTCTTTTCTCTTTGTCTCAGTCTCACATGTGCTGTCTGTACGGTTTTGATTGGATTTGTTGCTCGGAGCGATATATCTCTGGAGGTGAAGTTGGTACTGAATCAAACAGGTCTAAGGTTTGTCTGGCTTGTTCCCTGAGGAGGTGGTGGTGGGGTTGTTCACAAAGACTCCCTCTGGCACTACGCTGAAGAACATTCGGCATCAGACTATAAATTTGACCAGTATTTAAAGGCAAATAAGAGACTACCTAGACAGTTTGTATGTGCACTGTATGTGGGAAGGGGGAGGGGGTGGATCCACAAATGCATGTATCTCTGTGTCTGTGTTTGAGTGTTGAGAGTAATTGGTGTCTGGTGAGAAGTGTCCTGCAGTTGTTACTGCTTGTCTTGTACTAGACCTTGTCTTTGAACCTTAAACCTGTAGCTGTGTTTCACCTTAAGCACATCATTAAGAGCGGGACTTGTGGACTTTGTAGCCAGGCCAGACTTCCATGTAAACCAAGATGAGATTTATGGATTCATGGCTTTTATGGTGCTGTCTGGATGCCCACCAACAGCAGCTATAAGCATAAATGGTTCAATGAAAACTGTCTGGAAAAAACTGTAATATGAGAAGATTTGGTGACTGGTATTTCTAATATGTACAGTAGTCACTAAACATGCCCTAAAGGAATTCAAATTAGGTTTTTTTTCTGGTAGTTAATTAACTTAATTTCATCCATTTGAATTTATATATAACTGTTCGACCTCTGGAAGGAATGTAATAAAAATCCAATGTAGAATAATTCAAATCTATTACTGCTTTTCAATTATTCAGCTGGTCATGAGACTCTGAAGAGTTATCACCAATCTGTGAGACCTTCCAAATTTCATAATTTGTCAATTTCCTGTCTCTAACACACAGTTGGAGATTTAACATTGAGGGTCTTACGATCAACATGACGAAGATATGGAGAGCTTTGAACAAATCCTAAAATCTCTGTAACTTTATTTGATGTTTAAGCTTAGTGCTCTCTTTGAGTTTCCAATATAGACAGCAAGTGCAGTTACAACAGGCCGACCGTAATGTGTTGCATCTTCTCTATAGCAGATTATTCTCTCTCTCTCTCTCTCTCTCTCTCTCTCACGCACACACAGACTTACAAACTAAAATGCATTCACTTGGGCCAACCTTACCACTGGATTTCCTGAAAATGTGGCCGTATTTGCCTCCTTGGCATTAAGAAATGTTCCTGCATGTGCCCGTGTCATGTTTCAAGGTAAGGGGTGGTCAGGGGCCCTGTGGACTGGGACTGGGCCCTGACAAAGAAGGCTTGTGCCTGTTACAGGCTTTGAGTACCATCTCCTGCCACCTGAGACTCTCAGACACGTGTTTGCCTCCTCTGCCACTGTACCCTCCTTTACAAACCAACCACCCTGAATGCTGAATGGCCCTACACCTATATCTTATCGTCTAACCTCCTCTCCCTGTTTTCTCTTCTTTACCCAGTGCCTTCGACACTAATTGAACTGGTCTTAAATGGTTAAGGAGTCCTCAAGTTCCAGGTTTTGTCCTTCTCTTTGTGTGCTGTTAAACCTACTAATTACTCTCTAAAACCATTTTGTGAGGTTCATGCCCACCCCCCCACCCTACCCCATCTGTTTTCCAACCTCATACACACTAAAGTCTTTGTATCCCTGGGGAAACTGCTCAGAAAGAACTCTGTAATGTACACACATCCTCCTGCATGAAGTATTTCCAAACTATTTGTATCATCATAATAGGCAAGGCAAGGGAAGGCAAAATTATTTGTATTGCGCATTATCATACACAGAGGTCATTCAATTGTTCTTAATAGAAAAAAAGAAAATATTAAAAAAAGAAAAAATGCAATAAAAGAAGCAAAAAAATAGAAGTAAAAAGCGAATACGAAAACAGTATAAAAACAATATAAAATCACAGATTATAAGATGAATAATGTCTCGTCAAAAAAATGCAATAAGAAAACAGTATAGATCTGTGTGGAGGTCGCGCTCTGATGATGCCAGCAGAACCACATCATCTGCAAAAAGCAAAGATGCAATTCTGAGGTTCCCAAAGCGGACACACTCTTCACCTTGACGGTGCCTTGGGATCCTGTCCATGAATATCACAAACAGGATCAGAGACAAGGGACAACCTTGGCGGAGACCAACATTCACTGAAAAAGTGTTTGACTTTGTGCCGGGAATGCGGACACACCTCTCACTTTGCTTATACAGGAAACGAATGGCTCCTAGCAACAGGCCCAGTAACCCATACTCCCGCAGTAACCCCCACAGAGTCCCCTGGAGCACACACGGTCATAAACCTTCTCCAAGTTCACTAAACACATGTAGGCTGGCTGGTCAAACTCCCATGTCCCCCTCAGTACTCTCATGAGGGTAAAGAGCTGGGTCAATGTTCCACGGCCAGGACGGAATCCTCACTCCTCCTGAATCTGAGGTTTTCCAGCAACCTGAAGCAAAAATTCCCAGGGAGGCTGAGCAGTGTGATACCCCAATAATTGAAGCCGGCCCCCTTTTTTAAAAATGGGAACCACCACCCTGGTTTCCCACTGCACAGGTAATATCCCCGACCTCCACGGGACATTGAAGAGGCCCTTCAATGTCCAGAACCTTCAGCATCTTGGGTTGTATCTGATCATCGCCTTGCCACCGGGGAGCTTCTTGACTAACTCAGTAACCTCTGCCAAGGTTATGGATGAGACTTCCCCCGAGGCTTCAGACTCTGCCTCCTCCACGGAGGAGCTGTTAGCTGAGTTCGGGAGTTCAGCAGTTCTCCTCCCCAACTGAACACAGCCTTGGTGAAGCCCTGCTTCCCCTTCCTGAATCACCAAACGGTTTGCCAGAACTTCTTTGAGGCCAAAAAAGTCCTCCTCCATAGCCTCCCCAAACTCCTCCCACATCCGAGTTTTTGCTTCTGCAACTGCTGAGGCTGCCACCCTTTTTGGCCACCCAGTACCCATCTGCTTCTTCTGGAGACCCCTGAGCCAACCAAGCCCTAAAAGCCTCCTTCTTCAGCTTGATGGCTTCCATCATTGCTAGCATCCACCAGTGTGTTCTTAGGTTGCTCCCCTCCACAGGCACCAATAACCTTGAGGCCACAGCTCCTAACTACCCCCAACCTCCCCAGGATGCACGAGAAATTCTTCTGCAGGTGCTAGTTGAAGACCTCACAGACAGGGGCCTCCACCAGATGTTCCCAGCTCACTTGGGTTACCAGGTCTGTCTGGCAGCCTTCCCCACCATCTGATCCAACTCACCACCAGGTGGTGAACAGTTGACAGCTCTGCCCCTCTCTTCACCCGAGTATCCAAAACCAGGCTGCAGATCTGATGATATGACCTCAGCGTCAATCATCAACCTCTGGCCTAAGGTGCTCTGGTACCAAGTAAGCTTATGATCTAACTTATCTTTGAACATGGTGCTCATTATAGGCAAACTATGACTAGCACAGAAGTCCAATAACAAAGCACCACTCAGGTTCAGATCAGGGAGGCCGTTCCTCCCAATCACGCCTTTCTAGGTTTCTCCGTCGTTGCCCACATGGGCGTTGAATTCCCCCAGCAGAACTATAGAGTCCCGAAGCAGAACCCTTTCCAGGACACCACCTAGAGACTCCAAGAAGGTCTGGTACTCTGAGCTGTTGTTTGGTGCGTAAGCACACCCAAAAGTCATAGCCTTCCCCTAAGCGAAGTTGAAAATATAAAATCTAACTGGTCTGTAGAAATAAGATCATTAACTAAAAGTGCTTTGCTGGAAAGTGATCGAACATTTAAAACAGCTAACTTTAAAATATAGGAAGGGCTTTGAACAGTCTGAGGTTTATCTAAGGCATGAACAGGTATTAGGCTTGATGTGTTTACAGAAAGTGTAGAGTTCTGCTGTGTTTACTCCGCTTTTTCGATTCCTTATCAAGACAGGAATTGAGGAAGCTTCTGGCACACTGTTTACCTGGAGAGGGGAGGTGACCTAGGTGGGGTTTCGGGGGTTGAAGACGTTGGATCCTAAGGCGGGTGTAGCATCCTGTTCCTCTTTGCTCTGACATCTCTCATGATTAAGGCTCACTTCAGTACTTCAGGGGCAGAGGTGGCTGTCCTTCAGTGTTTCTTATATGTTGTGGTTTATCTTCTTCCTTTTTTTTTAGATTTCTCTCTCTTGTCCTTGGCAGAGGGGTGATGCAGGAGGAAAAATAGGTTGTAGATGAATAGTTTTATTCTTGATTTGTTGGGAGGATGGGATGATGAATTGAATAGAATTGAAACAGTCATACAAAACATTAATTAAAAACCCTTATTTAAAGAACAACAACAAGCAAAGGAACAATGTTCAACAATATGTGAACAATATGGAGGAAATGGTGTCTTTGCTTGGTAAATTGACAGTTTGACAGTTAATTGTTCTAATAACATCAGCCAGGCAAAGGACCTCCACAGTGCAAGAAATGTTTTAGTGTGTCATTTTCATTAAAGTCTCCTTTTTAATCTGAAAATAATTTTTATCTGCCTGTTCTATCTCACTTATGGTTGTTTCTCAGCAGTGTGTAAAATGGTTGGGGGTGCTGTTAAACAAAAAGTGAGAAAGGAAATGGTATGTTACAGAGAAATCAGATAGTGAGAGTCTTTGTGACCTTCAGGTAATGTTGGTAGTGTGTGTATGTGTGTGTGTGCGTGTGTGTGTGTGTGTGTGTGTGTGTGTGTGTGTGTGTGTGCGTGCGCACACGTGCATGCTCAGATCTCATGTTTAACCTGTCCCACTGGCCCAGTGCACCTAAGTTGTGACCAGTGGACTGAAAGCCGAGCCTGCTGACGGAGCGACTTCAATGTTTCACATGTGTGATAATGCAGGACACTGACACATTGTGGGAGTGATGGTAACACGGTCTCGCTCCACACCAGCTGATGAACTATGGCTAAAGGGATTTTGCTGTAGTAGTGGGAAATATACAGTAGATTCTCTGTTCACGCATCAGATCACGCACTTATGATATTTTCGAAAAATGTTTTTGAGAAAATTTTCAACAGGGTGTTTCTAAGAAAGACAAGATTGTGTAAATTATTATGACATCAGGATACTGAGAATGCATGTTTGTTCTCTTGATGTACTCCATGCTCTGTCATGGCTCTACAAAGGTTATGACTCAAGGAATCATCAGCCAATATCCATGTCTGTGTGCATGAGCATCTGTGATCTGCCTGTGTGGTGCCTGTGTGTACCTGCATGCAGGGGGTAATTTGTACTTTATTGCTGGCAAAGAAAAGACAAACAGAGAGTAATGAGAGAAAACAAGACAAAAGGAGATGGGGGAGGGGGTGCGAAAGTGAAGTGAGATTCAGGCTTGTCTATTACTTCTAGAGCAGCTGGAGTTTTTGGCAAGACGCTGTGTTAAGGCTCCCTTTCACTCAGGTTCTGTACACTCAGACTTTGCAGTTTCCTTGGTTTCAACTCCATTAGGTGACAATGAAGCCTTTGGGAGAGTCAGTGCCTTGGCATAGCAGGCCTCTGGACTGTATAAAGACACCCATGACCGTTCCCTCTGCATACTAATGATTATGCCTCAGATTCATGTCAGTCGCCTTTTAAGCTTACTGATGGTAAGCTGTTTGATCTCCCCAGGCAGGTTTGCAAGGCCAGGACAGTCGTCTTGTTTTTCACTCCTTTACTTTCAGGGACACTGTGCCATGTGGCAGCATGTGTTGAGGTTCTTTCAAGTATATGTGTGTGTGTGTGAATGTGTGTGACAGAGAAGGAGAGAGAAAGATAACAAAGAACTTAAACTGCCTTACAGAACAAGTGCTGGCACTGTCTCTTGTTGCCCAGCTGCCACAAACAGCAGAGAGTTCAACTTCCTGCTGCTGCTAGTGCTCTGTTTACTCATAGCAGCCAGTGGAAAAGCAGGGGGAGTTTTTTTTTAATCATATCTAGTCTTAAAGACTAGTTTCCTCCACAACAAGGAGATAAACATGGCCACAAAATTACAAATAACAATTTGACAAATTTCCTAATGTTGGGATGTTTTACTCATCAAGTATTTGCAGTTGGAATATACATACAGTATCTGGATATACGGACAGTATCTGGGGGGGTTTCCCCATTTGTTTGCCACAATGCAAGAGTCAACTTCAGGATACAGCATGAGAAGTCTAATTTAACAATTTGTCAGTTATTACTGTATATACCATGTGATCACTATGTGAGCACATTCCTGAGGCAGGCACTGTACAATATAATGTAATCCACCAACACAACAACAACGTAAACCAGAGTTCATTTAATTTCTGTCAAGTGTTGTGATTGTAGGACAATTCTATTAGATTTCTTTATGTTGATATGTAGTTACATTAAAGTGAACCAGCAGGTTTTTAACTGAGTGCAAAAAAAGGTTCTTCAACTACAGCTTAAAAAAAATCAACATTATAAAGTGTTTTTTAGTATCCGAGAATGATTTCTTCTTTTCATTTTAGTCTTACAGTCAGTGGAAGCTGTTAACTGAAATAGCATGGTAGTTACTTTTGGTTGTTCAAAAACTGTGTATTAGGTGTGACTGCACGTTAGATGTTTGTTTCTCTTTTCACCTCTTTTCTAAGTTGGAGGACTTAACAGTTCACTGCAGGAAGCTCAGCTATCAGAAAGATGCAATATGTCACATGTGATCTTCCTGTACAAGCCTGATGTTGCTGCTGAGTGACTTTCACAACTTGTTTATCTGTCACCATGGTAGCATATTTAAACAAGCAACAAACAGATATGTTTGTTTTTTTTCTGTGCATGTATGGGTTTCAATAAATCTTTGTATGGCTGTCTGTGGTGTTTGTGGTGGTAAAGCATCCAACTTTCTTTTTCCAATACAGGATATTAAAAACCCACAGTCACCATGCAATTCACTGCACTGATATTTTTATTTTTTGAGTATGAGTCTTGTTGCACAAAACATGCCTGTTTTCAGCAGAAATATTTGATAAGAATTGACCCATCAGCTTCCTGATCAAATGTTCAGAGTGTACATGTTGATAATGAATTTTATTTTAAGAGTTTTTGTTCTGCTATTTACCACAAAATCTAGATTTCAGTCATTATATTTAAGTCTTATTTCTAATAATGATAATACGCTTTCAAAATTGCTTTTGCAGAAAGTCTTTTGCACTAAACTTTTTTTTTCTATGTGGGAAGGGGAACCACCCGAAGAGCACCAAAGTCACAAGCAAATAGTCAGTGTTAAAGTTGCGTGTCCCTAGTTATGTTGCAAGACTCTTTCCAGGTGGTGTCTTTCCTTTTCATTGTCAATGCAAATGCTCACCTGCTCATATCAGGAAAATCCCCTGCTGAAAATGTAATTCTCGCCAATTCTGGCTTTTTCCATTTAGTGATCTACATGTCTACACATACAGCTGCCGGCTATGCTGCTCATTTGCTATAGGCTTAGTTTGCATTTTTGCTTTCATTTCATTGAGGCAAAGTCATTTCCCTGAAGCTTCTCCTTCAGTTAGGCAAACTAAGGCAAAGAGGGTAACACTACACACTAAAACTTACAACCTTTCACTGATCTACAGCTTTGAAATGATGCTTTGTACAAAAAGCAGGTTTCTGATTATTGGCAAACAAGCATGAATTCATAGGCTCATTCATAGGTTTTAGAGACAATATTGACAAATTAATGTTTTATGAAGGAGAGTGAAACTTTGGGCACCAAATTTTTTAGTTAAGTATAACTTATAAAGAGCTAGCCTTCTCAAACTGTTACACTAGAGGAAACAAAGGGAGTTTTCACAGCCTGGCAACCCATGTGTTGTGTGTATTAATTTTACATTACTAATCCATTAAGCATTCTTCAATAAAGTCAATAGTTACAAATTAAAATATGCTCCTTAGAAAGGAGTATCAGAGTTTGTCCAGTAAGCAAAATTATGCTTTCTGAGCATCTTAGACCTTGACCATGTGAACTGTGTGCAGTGGATGTTTCCAGCCATAAAATGCCACTGTCAGTGCAAAATTTTCTCAGCATTATATTTTGGTTACACCTTCGCCTTTCTGAAGAGGAGGTCAGCGAGTGTAGTGAAAAGTGTACCGTATGTACACACTTGTTTACACAAAATACATAAAATACTGAAATTAACATCTTTGTGAGGCCTGAGGGCCAAACACTGTCGATGGGTATGCTGCCTGTCTCATGATGCTTCTCTGCCAGAAAGCTCATAAGAGCAAACATCTCATGACTCACACTTGAATATTGACACAAAACACACATGCATAACTCAAGATTTTACACATTGTACATTATATGGTTGTGATAAGCATTCACGTGCATAACTGACTGAAAGATATGGTAGTTGAATTGAGTGACAAGCTGCTTTTTTTTTCTTCTATCAGGAAAAATAAGGTACAAGTGCACACAAAACACAGCAGATCTCAAAAATATTCTGCAAGAAAAATATCAATGACCAGTAAAGAGCTCCTCTTTTAAAACTATTGAATAAATCCTCAGCTGTCTCATGTCGATTCCACGGTGTATTACAAAACTAAGAAACAATTCCCGTTGTATAAGCCACAGCAGCTGCATCCTTCCTGTGCTATACAGTCAAATCAAACATGGCTCTTAAATCCCATCTTCTATCTCAGCTTGTTATGAATATAATTTTTAGCTGTTGCAGTTGGAAGACATGAAAAAAATTGAAATGACCTGTTGATTTTAAGTGTATTTCATTATTATTATTATTATTATTATTTCAAAAAGGTATAGTAACTGTAATTCATTTATTAGATTTGTTCTCAACTGACTGGAACAATTCATCATCAATAAGATCTAAATGATGTTGAACCCTGTAAAACACTTAAACTATTGCATATTTTTTCTTCCTCCTTCTGCAGTGAATTCTCGGACCTGCAGCTATGCAGGGGTATTTCTGGTCGAGGCAGAAAAACGTCACTCCCTGAACTTTTCCATGGCTGAAAAGGTGTGTGAGGAGCTACAGAGCACATTGGCAAGTCAAGAACAAGTCCAGGGGGCCTATGCTAAAGGCATGGAAACCTGCAGGTGAAACCACAAGCCTTTCACTCATAATTATTTACATTTACTGTTGTGAAGAACTTTTTTTTTTAACTGAAGTCTTTTTTAAAAATCATTTTAATGCTTGTTAAATCAAATGTACATTTTTGAACTGCAAGATATGTATAAAGAATACAGATTGAACATTTGTGGTAAAATATGAAAGGCCACAGGAAATGCTTTTACTCATAGGCAGAATTAACTAAATGCCAAACTACATTGAACTTCAACTTTAAATCTGCTTCATCACCATGATTGCATTTCATCCAGAGATGTAAAACCAGAAAAGAGGAAGACAGTCTTTTACTTTCAAGTCAGGGGTACGCTACGTTTGTCATGTGGTAGATCTCAAACAAATTTCCAATAATGGAAAGCACCATCTGTTACTTAACTGTGTTTGTCTCTACTTCTCTGAGCAATGTGAATTAGTTCAGTTATTAGTATGATGTAATGTGTTTCTACGTGGCTGCTTGGAGACAGATTGCATTCTGCATCAACAAATGTCTCCAAATTGTGTCAAAATACATCTTTTAGTAATAACATTGTTGTGTGTGTTCAGGAACGGCTGGATCAACAATGGGAGCGTTGCCATCCTCAGACACACGCAACATATGAACTGTGCAAATAACACGGTTGGGTTGATTCTTCTTTCATCTAAAACGCATGAAAAAAATGATGCCTTCTGCTATGACGACCTAGGTGACTATAACCATAGGAATTTCAAATTTCTCAATGTGTTGTGTTAATTTACAGACCTGTTGTTATTTGCTTCTTTATTTTGGTAACATCTACTTCCTGTCCCCCCATGTTTGCAGCCGGGCCTGATAAGAACTGTGATAAAGAAGTAATATCATCAGGACTCTCAACTAAGGATGCACCAGGTCAGTACAATATGCCCATTCACCCTCGACATACAGTATTTAGTCCCCATTTGTCTTACTTTCTTTATAGTTGATGGGAGGTCAACTTTTAAAAACATGCAGAATTTCCAGGTTATTAAACACAGTTGATTATGTATGTCATGGAATTGACAGTTGTAAAAAACAAAATAAAAAAAAAAACGAAATTCAAGCTCCTGTATTTCAGGATGCACAACCTCTCATGTGAGCAACAACAGAATGAAACTTCCCTGACATCACCTCAGTCTTGTTACCAAATGATCTCATCACTATAGTCGACACCAACATCCTCTTAGCTCCTAGCTATGTTACCTGAGGTGGGTCATATAGTTAACCCAAATCCTCTCTGGCTGAACTGGGAAACAGCTGGGTGAGGTTACTATTACGACCGCCTTAAGTGCAAATGAGCGATCAGTTTCCCAACCACTGGGTTTCCTGCTTTCCATTTTATATATATATATTTTTTAATTTATTTTACTATTCATATCTTGGCAGTATCATTTCACATTTCCTCATTGCAGGTTATAATCGTTATAAGGCTGCTGCAATTACAGAGTAATGATTTTGAATGAATAATAATAAAAAAAATAGCTCTTACATGTCAGCGTATGTACTAACATAGGGATGTCACACCAAATTGAAACCTCAAATTACTCTTGTGTAGTGAAACAAATACTATCAACAATGATCTCACACAGAGATACTCTTTAAACCTATCAATTAACACTCCTTTTAAGAAGCATAATAAAAACAAAACTGTGATCAAAATCCAGAGCAGAGACAGCAGGTTAACACCCAAGATTATCAAGCAGGATGTGACTCATTTTGTGCTGTTATTTATATACCAGCCACATTTTTTTTAAATGGCATGCTGTCTGACATTTTTCAATAATTTAGCACCAATTATTTTATACATATTATGCTGTAATATTGTATGAGGAATGGCCCCAATCTTTTTCTTACAAGTCAGGTCAAAATATAGGTGACTGTAACCATATATGACCCTTTCTATTCTCCAATCAGGAGTGTCCTCACCATCGCTTCAGGCTCCAACAATAGCAGAGGGCGAGGTAGAGCCAGAGCCCACTGCAAAACCACAACCCAGCGATGCTTCTGACAGTGAGGTTGTTGACACCACGGTGGCAACTGTGGAAGATGATTCAGGTACCAGTCCGCCCACAGAAATGAATGCAGAGAATCCAGAGGTTACCACACTTGCCATAGACGAAATCCCCTTTGGAGGGAACGAGAAAAGCAGCGTGACGTCCACTGTCACAGAGTTCGACCAGCCCAATGGATCTGGGATGATGCCACCTTCCTCTGAGGAGGACAGAGCCTTTCCAACGGTCCCTGTTGGAGAGCCAGTGGAAACACAACCTCCCACTGAAAAAGAGCCTGTTGAAGATGGTGTCACAACAGACTGTAAGAAAAACACAAGCAAATAATTGAATCATCCAGTGGCATGACAGCTACAAATCAAAACACAAGTAGAGTCACTAAATTATGCACAATTTGAGTTAAATAACAACACCTGACAATGTAATGCAATGCTTTACAATAGCTGTGCAAAAAAACAAAACAAACAAAAAAAAAGATACTTGTGTTGTGGAGACTGTGTCAAAAAGAACACGTGCTGATTCACCTCTATAATAACATTTGGAGTGCATTATACTGCAACTCTCCTCTTATATGGTCTACACTCTGTATATCCACTAATGTGATGATAGAAAATGACTTGAGTTGATTTCAGTACAGCACATCCTGACATCAGAGGCAACAGGTTTGGGAGGAATGAAGTAACTTTAAGAACATAGGACGCCCTCTTGTGTTAGTTTGAGCTCTGGAGTGAATTTGTTACAAAACAGGCCTCAGTGATCTTTTTGTTGTATAGGAGGAATTACAAGGTGTATTAAACAAACATACCTATTGTAAAAAAAAAAAAAGAAAAAAGAAAAAGAAAAAAATGTGTTTTGAAACCAAATCCATAAATCAAAATGTTATTATGTAGCTTGCAGTGTCCGGTGCAGCAAAACGTGCAGCCCCATAGAGAGACAGTGTATGTATGATTTAAAGCATGTAAACATGCTGTAACACAGCCACAAATATATGTGATGATTTCATCTAGATTTATGTCTTGAACATGCTTATATTTTTTATATGTCGGTGAATAATCTGTATCTGAGATTAAATGTTTACCTTTTGTCTTATTGACCCGCAGCTCCACAACAACCTAACAGCAAAGGATGGGCCAGTAGTCCTGCTAAGCCTGATGCTGATCAACACAACAGCGATTCATCCAGTGAGCAGCCATGTTACTTCACACATACCTCCAACCCCCTGAAGTCTATAGTGATTGCAGTCAAATAAGAAAAGCACACACTCCAATTTGGATTAATTCTTTATCGACAGTGATTTTTATTTCTTACTGACTCAGCTTTAATACTGTCAACTCATGGCTTGTTATTTTTGTTATTTCTCCCTCCAGACTGGCTGGTAATCCTTGGAGTGATTGTGGCAATTGCTGCAATTCTTGTTGTATGTGCAGTTGTTGTCAAAAGGAAAAGGTATGACCTCAGTTGCTATTTTTAATTATTATTTTACACTAACAATGTTGTCATGTACTGTGTTTTTGGACATAAACACCCCCCTTTTTCTGTCTTACTACGCGCAGTAGGCAATGCTCACAGTTCCAATTTCCCCATGTTTTGCTTCACACTAAGGGATGGCAAAAAAAAAAAAAAAAAAATCAATAATAAATAAATGTGCCTGAATGTGCTTTTGCAGCTGGTGCGGCAAACGACAGACGCTGATGATCACATCCATAGACGGCGGCGAGGGGAACGGGGCTGCAGCATCAGCATCCAGCTCCCACGCCCAGGAGAGAGAGCAGGAGATGGTGACCCTCATGAATAAGGAGAAGATCCAGGAGAACGGCAACACAGAGGAGTTCACCGTCATCACGCTAGAGGAGTCGCCAGATAAAGAACAGCTGGCATGAGAGGGGAGCGTAGGGTATGGGTGAAGGCAGGAGGGGTAGAATGAGGAAGATGGCTGAGAGGGTAGAGAGGCTGGGGTAGGGAGCTCCAAACGCTGGGGTTATAAACTGCTTTGGCGGTCAGGGATGAATGGAGGCTGAGTGAGGGTCTATGTGTGTGTTACTTGGAAAGATTGTGTTTTCCTGGGTCTGAAGCTGTTGCCTCTCTGTGGGACCAGGTCTTTCAAACCAATATGTGCAGCATTGTCTTTGTCTGGTATGCGGGGCTAGTTAGAACTGAATGGTGGTCAAAGAGTGTCATGCATGGTGGGGTATCATGCATCTGAGCATAGCAGGGTATGTGTGTGTGTGTGTGTGTGTGTGTGTGTGTGTGTGTGTGTATGTGTGTGTGTGTGTGTGTGTGAGAGTGTGTGCGAGTGTATGAGTGAGTTTTTTGTGTCAGTTCTTTGTGTCTCTGAGGTTGTACGCTTTGTTGATGATGGGGCTGGAGAGGCATGGGTTTAAAAGGGAGGGGGGTGGTGAGGTTGTAATTTGTGAAGAACATATTGAATACAGATTTTTCACTTTTTAATAGAATTGGTAAATCCTAAAATATCAGCCTAAATAGGAAAATGATGAAAACTGGTTTATTTTCTTTAAAATACAACATAGAAAAAATAATTTTAAACAAACAGCTCCCGTGTTTTCTGTGTGTGTTTTTTTATTTTTTTTTTATTTGTTTGCTTATTGTTGTAACCTTGTGTATATCTCAGACCTTGCCTGTGGACTGGAGTTTGGTTTTTTCATTTTCAAGAGAACTGGGGATGTCACTTCCTTAATTTATGCAGCTTTGAATCCCTTTTTCTTGGTCTCTGTATATAAAGTATATGTTTTGGAAACGCCTTAGCAATAGCTGCCAGTGGATGTTTTCTTTTCTTTTTTTTCTGGTAGGAAGGGGCGTTGTGTCCCTTTTAAATAAAGGAATGTGTCACTTTTGAGAGTTATTTAATTGGAAACAGTACCTGGGGTAAATAATTGCAAATGGATTTTGGAACAGTAAAAACGGAGTGGATATTGTATAAATCAGCTTAATGTATAGTATCCAAAACTGTGCAATTCATGCACCACTGAAGTCAGTTTATATGGTATACATTTACAATGAGTTGGGAATATGATGATATGATGCCCCTGATGGTATCCTGAGGATAAAGCAGGATGATAATGATGATGTCATACTATATACACAGTGTGTAAAAAAATAACTGAATGAAAAAAAGAAAGAATTGGATTGTATCTGTAGCAGATTGATCATTTTTTGTATGTAAGATTCGTGAGACAGCAGCTTAACTTTATATGCTGAACTAAGTATCACATATGATAATGGGGGGCCCATGTGCTGTAAACACATACTGTGAATGAAGCTTGCGTGCTTTCCCAGGCCTTAATGTGCCCATCATGCACACGTGTAAACAAAATACTGCAGTTTTTTCTTCTGACCTTCTCATTGATGAATTATATCATACATTGTGTCAAATCAATATTATTCCCGATGTGACAGCTAAATTCTTTTTCAGTTTTTTCCAGTATAAAGCTGAATTATATACAGCAATTGTAAACAGATTTATTTTGTTTCTGACTTGTTCCGTTGTTTTTCCTGCTTTTGCTCTTATATGATTCATTTTGACGGGAAGTAGCAAATGTACTAGTGTAGGCAGGTTTTATGACAAATTAACAAAACATGTTGCTGAAAAGATTTGTAAAGTCATGAACGAAATAAATGTGTATAGAAAGAGATGTGCTGGAATGTGGTGTTCACTCACTGATTACCCGGCATGTGCGAAGACAAAGGGGAGCGAGTGAATGGCATGACAGGGGATGCGAGTGGTTACATTGCCCACACATAAGAGGAAGTGAGGTTTCCATGGCACCGGTCGTGATGCGGGAACATGTTAACACAGGAAACAAAGACGGCCATTTTGAAAGATAGAGGTGGCATCTTTCAATACAGTGCATTCAATGGTAAAAGAACACAACAACTGCCTATTTAACATGCATTTATTATGCAGTACGCTCAGTCATTTAATACTAATATAAAGCTGCTCAGGGGTAATGCTGCCATCAAAAAAATTACCTCTATGTACTGGATTTAAATCGTGAGAAAAACATACATTCTCTGTGACACAGTATTTTGACAGCCTATTGGATCATTAAAGCTTTAAATGGCTTTTTTTGGTTTCTATCAACCAGCAGAAAACATGTTTGTCCAAAACACTATCAGTTTTTTTTTTTTTTTTTTTTTTTTTTTAATGAGGCCAATATTTTCATTCATTTTTGGCTAAATATGGCTTGACAAGTGCACTTTTGTAGTATTAACTTCTTAACACATGAGTTTTAATGATATTACTGATGTCGCCAAATATTCCATAGTAGTGGTACAATGTCATAATAACTCTAGTTTACATTCACCTGGACCACCACTTCTACAATGAGCACATACCTACATTTATCCTTAATATTCCTGTATATATGTCTTCCAGGTGGCGTGGGACATGACACGTTCTGAGTATTCAGTGTGGAGTTGATATATATATATAAGGCCACCTAGAGATGCTTAGAAATAGCCTATAAGCAGTTCATTGTTCATTTCAGCATATCAAAAAGATTGTAGTTACCATCATTTAGTTCCAATATGCATTTTGTAATGTTTTTATAATTTTACATCTATAAAAATGATGTTGTTTAGACTGTCTGTTAGTCATAATTACCCCAATCAAATGACAGAAACACACAAAAAAAATGTATTTCTGCGTGTGTGTGAGTGCATGTAAAAATTCAAAGAGCAGCCAAAAATTTAGTTATGAATCAACATTTATTAGTTATATTTGTATATGTACACCAAAGGTACAACACTTGATATGTAGAAACAGATTTTTTATGTATACCATAGACCGAGGAAAGAATTCATGTATATTTTTTGTCTTTTTTTTTTCTTAATAGTGTATCTCCCCCACACATACGCTCTGCCTTTACATCAGAATTACAACAACTTTTCAAAGAGGGAAGGCCTAGAAAAGTAAGATCAGGAAAGCACGTTGTAGGCAGGAGTGAGACAGGTTATAAGCTCTATTTAGGAGTTTCCTCAAAAAGACACATTTCAGTAGAAAAGGACAAGCTTGAAGATATACTGGCTCTTCGTTGAAATACCGTGTCAATCAATATCTGTGTAATCCGTATCATTTAGCTCAGCAAGTTCCAGGTGTTTGTGCGTGCATATAGTTTCTGTGTAGAATGCAAACAAAAGGCAAGTGGAGTAAAGGCAGTTTTTACCGGGTGGGATTTCTATCAACCTCCTTGATGTTGATGGTACGACAGAGTCTCATTAGGCAAAATGTGTGAGGATGTGGCATGTAGACAGGCTAACACAGACTCTAAAAGAACTAGATATCTATGTCTTGCAATTTTAAATGCACGTGCATCAGGTAAACAACGATGCCTGAGGCTAAAAAGACAGTTTTCTCCACTGAAAAGACAAAATGGTTTCAGATGAGTCACCTGAGGAATGTTGCTCTATACTGTAACAGGAATCTGAATACATCTGATGTTTGTTCTTTCACTCAAATCAACTACTAAGTTGTGTTTGATTTTCTCACTCTATTCTACATCCAGGGCAAATTGGATCTTGTTCCTTTACTTGTCTCTCTTTCCAGCAGCCTTTATCACAGTAATTCCCACCCTAATAACTCATGTTGGCCCCTCTTTGTCAAAGCAGAAACTTCCCCTCGCTCTCTTTCTTTCTATCTCTCATTCTCACTCTCATCTCTTTTTCTATTTGTCGTGCAAACAGTTGTTTGCTTCTGCACTGTAATTTCCGGAAAATTCTGCATTGCCACCGAACAGAACATTTATATATTTATTTATGTACAATGAAAATGAAAATGAATGCACACTGCTTATATCTTCATGGAACAAACATTCAAAACGCTTACATTAGATACAAAAAAAAAAAAATATTTATATATTGGTGTGTGACAGGTAAGTAAAACAACTAGTTAACAGCTATTAGAGAATAAAAAAACAAGCAATTTATTACACGATTTCCTCTCTATACATTTTGTCTAATCTAAATTTACTCAGGACATAGATGATATTTTTTTTCTAGAGGATTACATTAAAAATGTCACAGCAATGAAACTATATTCCTACATATCATTTCAACGCCCCCCTCCCCCAAAAAAAACAAAAGGACCAAAAAAAAAAAAACATCTGTTACCTACAATATATACACAAAGTGCAAGGAGGCACTTCAAAATATCATGCTTTTAAGATAGTGGTGCAAAAAATAATTATCATTTTATTTTATTCATGCTTCTAAAACCGTGAGTTTGAACATAATAGCGGTCCAACACTCAATCCCCACCGGTGACACTATGGTCTGCATCGTCTCCTTTTACTGGAGAGTTTTTTGTTTTTGTTTTTTTTTTATTTTTCCTGAAGATCACAAGGTCAAAAGATAAAGCCCAAAGGCCCTGTTAGGGTGTCAGTGCTGTGCTCTGCAGCTCACTGATTACAATTATAAATGTAGTGACCTTCCAGGTTTTAGAGTGTTTGCGCGCGTGTATATATGTGTGCACTTGAGAAAAGCGAAACAAAAATACAAAACAAAAAAAAAAAATAGTGAATTTGTGTGCGTGAGTGTATGTGCATGCTTGTTTTTGTGTGTATGCTATAGATCAGTCTGTGCAGAGTGTACAGCAGAACACCAAGTGCGCGCTATGTTGTATCAAAGCACACTTCTATCAGCCGAGCTTAAAAAAAGCAAAGTGAAAGACGTCTTCTGAGAGTGCGTCTCAGGAACTATAAGGACAGAGTGCTGCACTACGTGTTTCGTTAAGTTTCCTAGTGTTACTTTAAGTAGCATGTGTTGTTTGAAGTGAACATCTTCAAGGCAAGGTTGTCATTAAGCACAAATGAAAAGAAACAAGACAGGAGAGAAGGACCCCGACAGACACTGATAAAGAAATCAAATCCACACCCACATCACAGAAGTCTCACCTCTCACTCACACAGGCTAAAAAAAAAAGAAGAAAAAAACAGATTAACAGCCAGTTGTCCTGCTTTGTTTCTGTGTTTGCACATCTTTTTCTTTTTTTTTTTTTTTTAAGCCATTTGGTTGTATGAGAGGAATACATTTTTATTACCTGATAGCTGGCAACATTCTGGCATTATGTGTGTTACTGTATGTGTCCACCCTTTTGTTCTGCGTTTCGTTAAACGACTTCTCACCAATATGGACACACAGCTGCAGCATCTAGGGTTTGTAGAAACAGTCGTGAGCTCTGGTGTCTGAAATATATTGTTGTTTACCTTTTTAGGTCTGGCTAAACAAGAAGCTGGCGAGCCTCCCTGTAGAGTGTTATATCAATGATCTGTCTCTGTTTGTGCAAGCCAAGGATCCATCTGACAGCCGAGTGCTGCGCTGCTTCTCCCTCAGTTTCTTTCTATTCTTTGTTTTTTAAAACATTTTTCTGATGGTTCACCTTCTGTCAGTGTTCAATAATAAGTTTGTCTCCGCTTTCAGACAGTACACGGGTTGAGGATCATTCAGCCACGGAATGTAGTCTTAAATATGTGTGTGTGCTTACTGTACGTGCTGGGAAACTCCCCTTCCTGTCATATTATCACATTATAAAATTATTGTCTTTCAACAAAGTCCTTTTGCAGTAGTCAAAACTTTCCAAAGATGTGCTGTTAAGAGGCTGCTTTTGTGAGGTGAAACGCTCAAGTAGTGAGCAAGTAAACATTTTAGGATTACAACATTTTTCCCTGTAAAAGAGTAAACATACAAGCCTGAGTATCTTTTGCTCTCCCTTAGTGTTTTTTCTTTTAAAACTTGGAATACGATCAGTGTCGACATGGAACAATAATGTGCATGACTTTGATTATGCCACTGACTCATAATTATCCTCATTTTGGCTTTATTGTGCTCCGTCACTTTGTTTGTGCTCTATATAACCTCATTTTTTGTGCTAAATTTTATTCAGATATGTCAATTATTTAGTATTATTTGTTCTCGTAATAATCACATTGACGCAAATTTAGCTTTAATTTCACTGGCATTTTTTTATTTTTGTAAAAGTACCGTATAAAGTTTCATATTTAGGGCAGTGATTTTCTTAGCTTTAAGTTTTGAGGCTTCATTGGAAAAAAAAAGAAGAAAATATCAGCTGCTGTGCCAGCCACTTATAAATGGACATTGATGTAAGAAAACTGAAAAATGTGTTGCGTCATGGAGGCAGTTCAAAGGCCTCTGTGAGTTGATTGATTTTCTGCCTGTTTGGTCCCTATAATTGACTTGGTCATGTTCATAACCCCAGCTCTCTCTCTCTTTCTCTCTCTCTCTCTCTCTCTCACACACACACACACACACACACACACACACACACACACACACACACACACACACACACACACAAAAAGGTTTATAACTCACTCAGCAGGTGATTCAAATAAAAAATAAAAAAAGTCCCCTTATTTTTTTTTTACAGTAGACAAAATAAAAGGAAAACAAAAGGGGGATAGAAAATGGGCTCCATATGATTTGTGCTTTATAATTCCACTGTGACTGTGCTTGTAGGTTTTATGAGGCTCAGCGTGATTTTCCTGTTTGTTATTGTTCTCCCTGCCTCCTACCCTCTCATCAGTTTGACCTCAGACCTCAGGGATAGTGGGTAACATTGGGCAAAAGCAGATGTGGTCAGATGCACTTCAGAGGCTCTGACAGTTAAAGATGAGAG